GGAAAATGTTGCCAGCTCCTTTGCTGGAGAATGAAGTTGTTCTCAGATGGGCCTCTTAGGCAGGGCTCCAGAGGAAGATTGAATAGCCCTGTGGTTAACCTCTGGCCTTGTTTGTGAGTGTTGGATCGTTTTTCTTAGCATTGTCTAGGCCGGAAAGCTTATGTGTTTGGGAAGTTTTTGTGAGGTCTTTGCTGACACCTCTTTTGAACTTAAGGGCTGACCCTCAGATGCAGCCCCAGCCCAGGAAACAGACCCTTTCCTGCTCACACATGTGCTTTCCCAGAGGGTGGAGTCTTTGTGGGTCCAAAATAGTTGTCTGCTTTCTATATTGCTTCCTGCCATGGAGTTCCTTGGGTCCTCGTAGACAGATTATTAATGACAATGGAAATAATAATAATGCCCAGAGTAGCTAACGGATATCCAGCCTACACTGTGTCTATCAAAGAATCCAGTTCCTTACCCGCATCCCCTCTTTTAAGCGTGAGAAGGAGTTAAGGGTTTATCATCCCCATTTGACAGACAAGAAAACTGAGGCTGTCATGGATTCTTTAGAGAAAGCTTTGTGGCATGCCTGTGGGTGGAGAGCTGTATGCGTGGCACTCCTCCCCCGGACTGGGTGGACCCTGTGGATGGCCGTGTCCTTCTTGAGACCCAGGAATGTCGGGTTCATGCTGCATCTCAGCTGAGCAAGTCTTCTCTCCTCTGTGAGAATGGAGACAATGTTACTTACCCCGCTCCCTCCCGGGGTCTTTGTTAGAATTAAGTAAGAATCCAATGCGGGGTGTATGTAAACGCTGAAAATCCTACACAGACATTGGTGGGGTTAACTCCATCCTGCTCCTAGTACAGCTTCTTAATTCTTTCTTGATCCACGTAGAAAATCAGACTCTGCGCCTAGGCATAGGTGCTCCAGATTTTCCATGTAATTTTTCATGGTGTTTTGTGAAGCTCCTGCAACTCGGAGTTCTTGGATGAATTCCTGAGCCACTGGCTAAAAACTGGGGGCTTAGAACTGCTCCAAAGGCCTTTCTTTTGCCTCCTTTCTGTCTTTTCAGACCTGGGTCTACTGAGCTCCTGTTGGGTGCGAGGCCCTGTCCTAGGAGGGGGTGTCGTGGGATCCAGTGCAGTGAATGGAGCAGGAGTGGCCCTGCCCCCTAAGCTCCCCTCCAGACAGACAGTCAACAAGCACCCAAGATAATTTTCGAGAGGGATAAGTGCTGTACGAAAACTGTCCTAGGATCATGTGTTAGAACGTGGTTCGAGAAGGAGAAAGTGACTTCCAGAGGGGAGGTCAGGGAAGGTCTTTCTAAGGGGTTGAGACCTGAAGGTTGAGAAGGAGCTAGTTATGGGAGGATAAGGGGAGGATGCTGCAGCCAGAGCAGCAGATGCAAAGGTCCTGTGGTAGGGCTGAGCCTGGGTGTGTGAGGGGCAGGAAGGATGCTGGAGTGGCAACTGCCTGGGTTTGGGAGAAGGACTCAGAGAGACTGCAGGCACTAGACCACATGAGACCTGTAGGCTTTGGCAAGGAGTTTCTTTCGCTAAGACTCTGCTGTCCAATACAAGAGCCAGTAGCCCCCCAAATTTTAAAATTAAAATGCAATGAAAAGTTTGGTTCCTCAGTAGAAGCTGGAACCTTCTACTGTGTAGTCTTGGTGGGAATGTAAAATGGTACAGCCGCTGTGCAAAGTAGTAAGGTGGTTCCTCAAAAAATTAAAAGTATTTTGGAAATTAATCCCTTGTCAGTCACATTGTTTGCAAATATTTTCTCCCATTTTGTAGGTTGTGTGTTCATTTTGTTTATGGTTTCCTTTGCTGTGCAAAAGCTTTTAAGTGTAATTAGGTCCCATTTGTTTATTTTTGTTTCATGACTCTAGGAGACGGATCCAAAAAGATATTGCTGTGGTTTACGTCAATATTTTGTAATAACCTAAAAGGAAAAGTATCTGAAAAAGAATAGAAGTATAGATATATAAAACTGAATCACTGTGCTGTACACCTGGAACTAACACAACATTGTAAATCAACTATACTTCAATAAAAACATTAAAAATAAAAGTACCACATGATTCAACAGTTCACTTCTGGGTATATACATAAAAGAACTGAAAGTAGAGTCTTGAAGAGATATTTGTACACCCATTATCACGGCAAAAGGTCGAAGGAACCCTAGAGTCAATTGACAGATGAATGGATAAACAAAGTGTGGTATATACACACAATGAAATAGTAGTACCCTTACAAAGGAAGGAACCTTTTATTTTTTTTATGGCAAAACCAGCTCTGTTTATTAATCATGATTTGCACATTCCACATCTCTTATTCAATGACTCTTTTTTCCCCCCGGCACCTTTGGATCATGACAAGCTTGGAGAGAATTAAAATTCCAGAAAATTTTGCCTGAGAACCTATACAAAGCTTGGATTCTCCCCCCTTTTTTTTTTTTTGCGGTACACGGGCCTCTCACTGTCGTGGCCTCTCCTGTTGCGGAGCACAGGCTCCGGACGCGCAGGCTCAGCGGCCATGGCTCACGGGCCCAGCCGCTTCACGGCATGTGGGATCTTCCCGGACCGGGGCACGAACCCGTGTCCCCTGCATCGGCAGGCGGGCTCTCAACCACTGCGCCCCCAGGGAAGCCCCGGATTCTCCCCTTTTTGACATACATGATTGATTTTCATTGTATAAATGTAAGCAGCTACAGTTATTCAAGCTAGCTCATCTTACTGTGTATAGATGTTTTCCTCCTTATCAAGATATAGTCAAGCACCCACTGGTGATGTTGTCAACAAGAATTCTGCCTTTGTTAAAAAGGAAGGAACTTCTGACACATGCTACAACATGGATGAACCTTGAGGACATGATGCTCAGTGAAATAAGCCAGACACGAAAGGACAAACATGATCTGATTCCACTCATAGCAGGTCCCTAGAAGAGTCAAATCCATAGAGACAGGAAGTAGGTGGTGGGGGCCAGGGGCTGGGGGAGGGGCTGGGGAGTCAGTGTTTCACGGGGACAGAATTTCAGTTTGGGAAGATGAGAAAGTTCTGGAGATGGACCGTGGGGATGGTTGCACAACAATGTGAATGTCCTTAATGCCACTGAGCTGTGCGCTTAAAAATGGTTAAGATGGTCAGTTTTACGCCTGTTTTGCTGCAATTATAAAAGTAATTGGTTCCTTGTTGCACTAACCACACTCCACAGCCGCGGGGAAGTGGCTACCGTGTTGGACAGTGCCAAGGGAGACCATTTCCATCATCACAGAAAGTTGCATCCAACAGCGATGCTCATGGGGGAGTATGGCTTCAGAAGCCTCGTCAGTTCCCTGGGTCTGGTTGGTGGGGTCCACGTGGGCCGGAATGTTCATTGCAGCAATCAAAGGGCCTGAGGATTTGGAGTGAAGAACACTCCCCAGCTTCCAAACCACGTTCCAAGGTGTGCACGGAGTGAGCAAAGAAGGCATCCAGGGAACAGGCTCTGCTGTGGCCAAGGTCTTTCCAGCCTCAGGGAAGCCATCGGTCCAGGGACAAATTTGCTGGCAGCCTGGAAAGGGAGGGCTGGTCATGGAAGCCCAGGCCAGATGCTGAGGGACCCATATTAAGGGGAATCAAGAAGTCATGAGTAGTGAGACATCAGGAGAGAGGGGATGTGTTCCAAGCTGCTGCAGGAAGCCAGGGAAGAGTCCAGCCTTCAGTGGACATGTTCGGTTGCATCAAATAAGAAACTCCAGCCGCAAAATCCACGCACAGCCTCTGCCCGCCATCCGCAGAGCCCCCTCCTTTCCCATTCATGATCTCCTGCAGGTCACAGCAGAAATGCCACCTCCTTACTTCCAGCACGGTGTTTGCTGTTTATGCAGTTATACTTTTAAATAATGAATATGTCTCCTCCATTGGACCATGTGGTCCCAAAGGCAGGGTCTGTGGCCACCATGTTCCTGCAGCAGCTGTAATATCTAGATCAGTGCAAGCAAATGTGTGTTGAAGCAGTGAATGACCTTTGGGCCATTTGCTTAACCACCTTGTGCCTCAGTTTCCCCATTTGTAAAATGGAGATCATTATCTATTTATTTATTTTAAAGAGTTCTTATCTTAAAAAAATTTTTTTTAATTAATTAATTTATTTTTGGCTGCATCGGGTCTTCGTTGCTGTGTGTGGGCTTTCTCTAGTTGCGGTGAGCCAGGGCTACTCTTCATTGTGGTGCGCAGTTTTCTCATTGTCACAGCTTCTCTTGTTGTGGAGCACGGGCTCTAGGCATGTGGGCTCAGTAATTGTGGCGCACGGGCTTAGTTACTCCGCGGCATGTGGGATCTTCCCGGACCAGGGCTCAAACCCGTGTCCCCTGCATTGGCAGGCGGATTCTAAACCACTGCGCCACGAGGGAAGCCCCAGATATATCTATTTACACCAGTCCTGCAGCTGTGTGCTGGAGCTGGCTTGCTAAAGCCAATTGTGTAATTTTCAGGAAATCTGGTTCTTAAACAAGCTGTTGTTAAACTTTAAATGATATCAACTTACAATTAAACAAATTATGTTTAAAACAAAGGTAATAAATACTCCAAACTCACCACTTCCTAATCATCTCACTACATTTTCCTACGATTAATGCTTTTGAGGTTATTTGCTACTATTGGATCTATACCATAGATGTGCTATTTAATGCTGTGATACTGTGTATCTCTTACTGGCTCCACGTTCAGTAACTCTAGGTGGGGTAGCTTGAAAGGAACCGTAGTGGGAGTATTTACACCATGGAAATTGGCAAACGCTATAAAGCAGAGCATCTCTGCCCCTCTCCCTGAAGAAGCTGTTAAGCATCTACAAGCACGTCACTGGCTTGGGGGCTGAAATGAGTTAATAGTTGTGCCTGGTACGTAGCAAGTGCTGCAGAAGTGAGCTGTTACTGTTATTATTTTGTTTGGCTTGTACTTCCTCATCCAGATTCACTGTTGTGCAGACAGGAATTGGGCAAAGCCACTGACCAGCTGTTTTCTTTCTCTCTCCAGTGTGTCCGACCATCTGTAAGTCTCACGGCTGCACCGCTGAGGGTCTCTGTTGCCACAGTGAGTGCTTGGGCAACTGCTCTGAGCCTGACGACCCCACCAAGTGTGTGGCCTGTCGCAACTTCTACCTGGATGGCAGGTGCGTGGAGACCTGCCCGCCCCCCTACTACCACTTCCAAGACTGGCGCTGTGTGAACTTCAGCTTCTGCCAGGACCTGCACAACAAATGCAAGAACTCTCGGAGGCAGGGCTGCCACCAGTATGTCATTCACAATAACAAGTGCATCCCTGAGTGCCCCTCCGGGTACACGATGAATTCCAGCAAGTGAGTCCTGGGTACGGGTTCCGGGGTTGGGGGCAGGTGGTAAAGAGGGGAAGGGGCATGGGGTTGGTGTTGGTGATGCTGCCTATTAAAACTGTGTGGAAAACTAGAGTTAATTGACTGTGAGTGAGGAAGCTACTGGTGATTAGTGACACGCGTGGGTCTCTCGGATGCCATCCCTGCTCCCTGGTTTTGGTGCTGGCCTTTGGAACAGGAGTCAACAAACTTTCTCTTGCAAAGGGCCAGAGGGTAAATATTTTCTGCATCTTGCATACCGAAAATGTAAAGCTTTCTATGCTTAGCATTGAAAATAGAAATCTTGGGCTTCCCTGGTGGCGCAGTGGTTGAGAATCCGTCTGCCAATGCAGGGGACACGGGTTCGAGCCCTGGTCCGGGAAGATCCCACAGGCCGCGGAGCAGCTAAGCCCGTGCGCCACAACTTCTGAGCCTGCGCTCTAGAGCCCGTGAGCCACCACTACTGAGCTCACGAGCCACAACTACTGAAGGCCGCGTGCCACAGTTACTGAAGCCCGTGTGCCTAGAGCCCGTGCTCCGCAGCAAGAGAAGCCACCGCAAAGAGAAGCCCGCGCACCACAACGAAGAGTAGCGCCCGCTCACCGCAACCAGAGAAAAGCCCGTGTGCAGCAACAAAGACCCAACGCAGCCAGAAACAACAAATAAATACAATTAAAAAAAAAAAGAAAATAGAAGTTTTGGTTTTGTCTACAGCCCTTTAGATGGTCCGATTGTTCCCACTGATGTAGCTGCCTGATTCTCACAATCAAGATCAGAACTCAGATGTTTTAAATGTTTTCTCCAAGCTGGATCTGGGTGGTGTCCTGAGATTAACGTGGAGTGCCAGGAAGAAGGACTCAATTCTAGATTGTTCTCAAGGCTTTGTTGTCTTTTGAAGGACAATGCCATCAAACCATTTCCTACTATTTAGGTGAGAAAAAGCAAGGTTTTCTCTCCCCGACGGTGAGTCAGATTTCCTACCCACATCTCAGACTTTTTGTTCATGCTGTTAGCGTCTCAGATGAGCTATTTTGGTGTCTCAGGGCTGTAACTGAGTTTTAAAAATCTGTTTCCTGATTTTTATGTTGAGGGTCTGAAAAAAACAAACCAACCCACAAAACAACCCAAAAACAGATCAGAAACAGACGTACGTCTAAGGGCCTTGAGCTGACCTGCATACGTAAAAAACCTTCCTCTTCAGACTTGAAAATTAGCCAAGTGAGCAGGTTCTGGTGGGAAATTTTATTTCCCTGAGTGGGGAGGGTGGGAAGGAAAACAATCTTTATTCCGGTTCCTAGGAGCCTCTCTTTGAGTGTTTGGGAAACCTGCAAGTACAGTATGTTTTGTTTTACTCATTTTTGATAAAACCTATCAAGTGGCTTTGTTGACCAAAAATTGGCTTCTATAAATCACCTTTGCATGCCAGACAGAGCTATTTTTTCTTCTTTGGGGCCAGTTTATCAGTAAGATTGGGAAAATTATCATATTCCTCTTGATTTATTTGTTTTTTTTTTTTCACGTTTGAGATAAAGCATGGATATTAACATCTTCCACTAAAAGACGTTGGCTTTAAAGTTTTTTTTTTTTTTTTTGATCATAACAAAGATCTGAAAAATAGAACAGCTTCCTTTGATGTTTTGCTGATGCCGGTGACCCCAGGATTGAAGCCCCAGGAAATCGACAGCTTGTCCTGTGATGCTTGGGACGTTTACTGAGTGAAAGAGGGGATAGTGAGGGATGTTAATTATGACCCATCATGGCAGTATTTTACTTTGTAGGTTAAAAAAATTTTTGTTTTCCTTCTGAAGCTTTTATTTTATTTTGTGAAAGACTTCAGTGCTGTCGTGTTTTCTAATGTGGTTTGTTATTAAAAAGGGCCAGGTATGTTTTCTTCCATTCTTTTGGCTTATCTGGGAACTAGTTCTTTTTTTTTTCTTTTAATATGTATTTATTTATTTACTTATTTGGCTGCACTGGGTCTTAGTTGTGGCATGCGGGATCCTTCAGTTGCGGCACACGGGATCTTCGCTGTGGCATGCGGCTCTTTTAGTTGCATCATGCGGGATCTAGTTCCTTGACGAGGGATCAAACTCAGACCCCCTGCACTGGGAGCGTGGAGTCCCAACCACTGGACCACCAGGGAAGTCCCTGGGAAGTAGTTCTTGATATTATTAGAGCAGACGTCTGGGAACCCATGTGGGTTCATTAAGAGGCGTCACCATCTATGGTCGTTCCCAGATACCTGGTGGGGTGCTCTTTAGTGAGATGAGGAGGATTAAATATTTGGGGTGCATGTTAAGGGTGTGGAGAATTCTCTGCCTCTTGATCTTCGCATGGCTGGTTTCTCCTTGTCATCCAGGTCACAGGCTTAAACGTCACTTCTTTTGAGACTCCTTCCCTGTATGACCTTCTTTCTGAAATAGCCATCTGGTTGCTCTTGGGCACAACACTCCATTTTAACTCTTTTCATGCTATTTACCACTAGCTGATATTTTAATTGTCAATTTATTAATTTTCCCCAACAAGACCATATGCTTCACAAGTGTATCAGCTAGCTTATGCTGTGTAACAAACCACCCCAGCACTTAGTGACTTAAAACAACACTCATGTATGATTTCTAAGGAGTCTGTGCATTGACTGGAGGTTTGTCTGGCTTGGGCTGGGTGAGCTCTGATGAGATGGTACAAGGTAACCTCTCATATCCTGCATGGGCAGTTGGGACCTCTCTCCATGTGTAGCCAGGAAGGGCATGCTTTACTGGGTAAGTACTTCTTAAGCCACTGCTGTATCACATTTGCTAACCTCCCATTGGCCAAAGCAATTCATATGGCCAAGCCCAGATTCCATGGATGAGAAGGCAGACTCCACTTCTTGGTGGGAAGGGCTGGAAAGAACGTGTGGATTTCCCACAGGGAAAGTAGGTTGTTTGTTCACTTCTGTGTGCCTGTGGTTTATAACTGCCATTGGCAAAGGGCCAGATAGTAAATATTTTCAGCTCTGAGGTCTGTACGGTTGCAGCTACTCTACTCTGGCCTTATAGAGTGATAGCAGCCATTGATGATAGTCAAACCAGTGGTTGTGGGTGTGTTCCAATATAGCTCTATTTACCACAAGCAGTGGCCAGCTGGAGTTGGCCTATGGGCTGTAGTTTGCTTGCCTTTGGCTTAGAGCATCATCTATCCCATGATAAATGCTCAGTGAATATTTGTAGAACCAACAAAAGAACCCAAACGTTTGGTCATTATTCTGTTTCCAACCCAGCTGCTCTGACACCAACTGGGTGTACTGCGATAGAGCTCAACCTCAACCACCTGGCTTGGCATCAGACCCACAGGTTAAAGCCTTGGTTCTCCATCAGACCAACTTTACTTCACATGCCAGCCACAATTTGGGGGTCCCCAGGTCACCCACACTTCTGATTGGCTGGCTATAAATTTTGAGGCTCCCACAAACCCCCTGGGTTCAATAATTTGCTAGGACAACTCACAGAGCTGAAAAAAAAAAAGTCTATACTATTCTGTTGGTCCAAGCCTATTGATGGTAGCACCTTGGGTTAGGGATGCTTGCAGTGCTTACCTGGGCATGCATCACTCATAGCGAGTTCTACAGACACTCTCCCATTGGGGCCCCTATTTATGGCTGGGCCAGCTCTGAGGTTCCTATTATGATCCCAGGATGCACTTCAGTGAGAAACCATCAGGGAACCTCGAAGAACAAGATTTGTTACTCACAGGTCCTGGAGGGCCACACAGTAGAGTCGTGGGGAGCAGGGGTGGGGAGAGGGAGAGAGGGGAGAAAAAGAGTGGGAGGGAGGAAGGGAGAGAGAGAGAGGAATCTTTGGGGGGTCTGCTTTTATTAGGGTATGAGGGTGGGGTGTCTAGGGTTTTATGGGTTCACTCTATGGTGAATTTAAAGCTTAAGAGCAGGAATTAGGGCACAGGAAGGGGGAAGAAGGGTCAGTCAAGTGGTCAGTTATCTAGGTTCCCCAGGGCTTTCTGAAAGAGCCCCCTTCATGGGTGGGGGCAGCCTAATTCCTTATCTGGTTGTTTTGCTAGTGGCTGGGTCATAGACCCGGTGTTACATTTACTCAAGACAGATGTCTTTTTTTTTTTTTGCGGTATGTGGGCCTCTCACTGTTGTGGCCTCTCCCGTTGCGGAGCACAGGCTCCGGACGCGCAGGCTCAGCGGCCATGGCTCACAGCCCAGCCGCTCCGCGGCACGTGGGATCTTCCCGGACCAGGGCACGAACCCGTGTCCCCTGCATCGGCAGGCAGACTCTCAACCACTGCGCCACCAGGGAAGCCTGACAGATGTCTTTTGAAACAGATGCCTCAGCAGTCAGAAAGCTTCATGTCAGGCTTACAATTGCAATTACAGCCTTATTATTATGGATGTACAGAGGCTGGGAGAGTTCCAGACGCAGGACTCCTATCCCCTCATGGAATCAGAGATATCACCCTTCCAGCATAGCTGTGTGTTCACCAGCCAGAAAAATGGACTGAGTTGGTGTCCAGAGTTTTCCTCTGGGTTTTACTACATAGGTGTGATTGGTTGAATCATTGGCCGTGGGTTTGAACTCCATCTCCAGCCCCGCTTCTCTCTCTGGAGGTCAAGTGGTTGATGCAACCCTCCAAATCACATATTTGGTCTTTCTGGTGACCAGCCCCTACAAGTCACCTCATTAGCACAACAAAGGTGCTCCTATAACTCAGGAAATTCCAAGGGCTTTTGAAGCTCTGCACCAGGACCTGGGACAAAGACCAGATGTGTTCTTTTTTTTTTTTCTGTTCTTTCAATTTTCTTTCTTTTTAACATCTTTATTGGAATATAATTGCTTTACAATGGTGTGTTAGTTTCTGCTGTATAACAAAGTGAATCAGCTATACATATACATATATCCCCATATCTCCTCCCTCTTGCGTCTCCCTCCCACCCTCCCTATCCCACCCCTCTAGGTGGTCACCCGTGACCAAGATCTTCCTGAAGAATCGAATATGCAGGGGTGTGGTAACAACAATTACTGTTGTTATTTACAACAGTAGCAACAATGATACCACTAATAAAAAGTGATCATCATAGCAATGGACCAACGCTTTTTAGTTTCTATGTGCCGAGTGCTTTAGGTGGTATATATCATTCAGTCCTTATCACTACCTGCCCCGTGAAGATTGCCTCCATTTCACAGATGAGGACACAGACCTTGAGAACGTAACAGTCGGGAATCTTGAGGTTTCATACGACAGAACCCCAATTCAAACTGGCTCAAGCAAGATGAAAGGAGTTTACTGATGACTGTAACCAAAAAGTTCAGGGGATCGCTTTAGGTACAGCTGTATCCAGGAGCTCAAGGGATGTACACGATCAGTTTCTTTCCATCCTCAGCTTTATTTCTGTCTCTGTTAGTTTTGGTCTCAGGCAGCAGCCTCTCCCTTGTCCCTTGCTCCATGCTAGCAATATAGCCACACCCTCTTAGATACTGCAGAGGGAGGACAATTTTTCCTTCCAGAAAGTTCTAGCAAAACCCTCACTGGGTTGGCTTGGGGGTGTGCCCACCTCTGAATTCCCAGCGGGATGGAAGATTGTGCTCAGGCTGCCCTGGGTCCTGTGTCCTGCTTGGACCTAGGAGGGCTGTACCAGCCAAGAACTGACCTCAGAGGCACTGCGTAGGGGAGGGCTGATTCCCAGAGGACTCCTGGGGGCTATAAATTTGAGGACATCAGGCTGCAGGAAGGCAAAGCCAAAGTCTGCCTCCAGTTACCCACTATCAAATGTGAGGTTGTGCTGTAGCCCGTAGGTTGTGGAGTCACGTCCTATATAGCTGTTTGGTCACGTCAGACCCCACACAGAACAGCAAACATCCCATCACCTTGCAGCAGCAGCCTAAGTTCCACCAGTTGGGGTAGCAGTATCAGCTCAGCCACTTCCGAATAGCGGCAAAATGAGTCCTACGTAAGGCCCGTCAGCTCTGCATCATTGCCGTCACCATGGTGATGCCGGGAGTCCCATCAGTTCCATGTAATGGCATGAGTCCGGTCTCCACAGGGTAGAAGGTGGTTCTCCATGGGGTACAGTGTGAATCCTCTCGCTTTGGGGTAAGGCAGGAGCCCCATCATTTTGGAGTAAAAGCATGAGTCTCCTGACCTTGGGGTAATGCTGTAGGACCTGCCCCCCTGGAGAGACACCCCAAGCCTATCACTTTAGGCAGTTGTTCTTACCTGGGGGTGATTTGCCCTTCCATCCCCCAGGGGACAATGTTTGGACAGCCTCCCACAACAGAGAATCTCCGGTCCCCAACGTCACCAGCTCTGTGGGTAAAGCATCCTGCCTTATGGTCACTTGGGACCCTGTGCAACACACTGCTGTGTGTGCGTGTGTGTGTGCGTGTGTGTGTGTGTGTGTGTGTGTGTGGTCCTGTGTGGCCTGACCTCTCTCTCTCTCCACTCTTTCTGCAGCTTGATGTGTACTCCATGCCTGGGCCCCTGTCCCAAGGTGTGCCACCTCCTGGAAGGCGAGAAGACCATTGACTCAGTGACATCTGCCCAGGAGCTCCGAGGCTGCACCATCATCAACGGAAGCTTAATCATCAACATTCGAGGGGGCAGTGAGTGCTCTAGGGGGAGGGGTTGCTGTCTGCTGGGATCCACTCTCCCTGCGAGCACAGAAGGAAAACAGTCCAGAGACTCATGCAGGGAATCTGTTTCCAAACCTGGAGTTCACAGCTCAGTCCTGGCCTCACTCCCCCCGAGATTCTGATTTTCAAAGCTGGGAGTTGGGACATCAGGAATTTGCATTTTTAACAAGCAGGCAACATGCCCTCTTTTGCAGGTCTGGGGACCATGTCTCCAGAAATTCTGTCAGAGGCAAAAAGGCATTTCTCTGTTTATTTATTCAGCGAACATTTATTGAATACTCACAGTGAACAAGGCAAAGTCCGTGCATATTGCAAATAAACAAATTAACGTATAATGTAATCCCAGGCAGTGGTTCATGCTATGAAGGCAAGCAAAGCAGGGTGATGGAGGGAGCAAGGGTTGGCATCTTAATATAATAAATATATTCAGATTTGCAGGCAGGACAACCTCTGTCATAACTACTCTGCCTTGTAGATGTATGTTGAGCAGGGCTCGTGAAAATCATTTTCAGCCTGTAGGTTAACTCTTCACTATGGGGAATTCTGGAAAGGTTAAAATATTTTGGTAGAAGCCCACTGGATATTCATTCTCTCCTTTCCTTAGACAACCTGGCAGCTGAGCTAGAGGCCAACCTTGGACTCATTGAAGAAATTTCAGGGTATCTGAAAATCCGCCGATCTTATGCCCTCGTGTCACTTTCCTTCTTCCGGAAGTTACGTCTGATTCGAGGGGAGACCTTGGAAATCGGGTATGTGGGCCTGCTGCTGTATCTGTGGGCTCATTAGGAAGTTTGTGAGTTATTGTAGAGAAACTTAGTTTTTTTTGCCGAGACATGAAAACAACTTAAGTGTCCACTGATGGTTGCATGGATAAAGGAAATGTGGTGTATATGTGTGTGTGTGTGTGTGTGTGTGTGTGTGTGTGTGTGTACACTGTATATATATATACAGTGGAATATTATTTCGCCATAAAACTATCTTTTTGCCGAAGCTCACACCTTTCATTTGGATCGTTCCAATGACTTTCTTGCTGGTTCTAGAACTACCAGGGCCATCCAACAGAAATATAATACAGGTCACATATGAGACTTTAAATGTTCTAGTAGCCACATTTAAAACACTTTAAAAGACATAGGTGAAATGAATTTTAATAATGTATTTTACTGAACCCATTACATTGAAGCTGTTATTTTGACATGGACTCAATACAAAAAATTATAAAGAAGATCTTTTATATCCTTTTTTTTTTTTAATGCAAAGTCATTGAAATCTGTGGTTTTTTACTTCTGGTACAGTTCAGAATGGCCAAATTTCAGGTACTTAATAGCCAGATGTGGCTGGTGGTTTCAGTGTTGGATAACACAGATCTAGGTGCTGCCCTTTTCCCATTCATTATGTACTGGTGGCCCACTCCTAGTTCTAAGGCACAGGTCTAATTGGGTTACTGAGTTGTTATAAAACCTTCAGTGGTCCCCTTCTGCCTACCAAGGAAGGTTACATAGTCTTGGTCTCGGTCTGGCATGCAGTATACTAGAGGGTTTGGCCCATGGCATCTCTGGTCTTGCCCGTCACCTGTTGGCCAGAACAGGCTACTTTGCTCTTCCCTGGGCCCAGTTCACGTGCCTCTGTGTCTTCAGTCTTTCCCCTTTTCAAAACCCATATCTCAATCCATCACAGTCTTACCCTCCTCCCCCACAAGACTGATCTCACATACCTTCCTGGCCCTGAAGACTTCCTCAACTTCCCCAGTCCATCTAACCCTCCTTTCAACATGTAATGAGTATGTGTCAAGCAAGTGGTTAGGACTGGGGACGGAGCACTGAACAAGATCAACTCCAGCCATGGCCCCGCCATCTTGGAGTTGGAGACGACAAGCTGATGAATGATTAGGCATGTGTGTGTGTTTCCATAGGAACTACTCTTTCTATGCCTTGGACAACCAGAACCTAAGGCAGCTGTGGGACTGGAGCAAACACAACCTCACCATCACTCAGGGGAAACTCTTCTTCCACTATAATCCCAAACTCTGCTTGTCAGAAATTCACAAGATGGAGGAAGTTTCAGGAACCAAGGGGCGCCAGGAGAGAAACGACATTGCCCTGAAGACCAATGGGGACCAGGCGTCCTGTAAGTGGTGATGCCCTTGTCCTTCCACGGACCAGATAACGTGGCTGCCTTCCCCCTCCCCCACCACACTGGCCCCCGGGGGAGTGTCACTTCCCCCCAATGAGCTAAAACAACTATGTGTGTGATAGGCTCTCTGAAATACTGAGGAAGAATGTATACATGTTATCTCTTTGCCAAATATTAAACACAGTGCCTGATACTGGAAGATGCCACATAAACATTGAATGAATGAATGAATGAATGTCACTTATCTTACATATGGCCTTGGCTCGAATGCTACAGCAGGGTCTACAGTTGCTACAGCTGGAGACTGTCAGCTGACTGCCCTCCTCTGACAGGTTTTCTCTTGAAGCATTGAGGTGCCAAGGCTTCCATAATGCCCTCATGTGAAGTTGGTTCCTTATGGCAGAAACTGTGAGAATTCAGGGGAGGGAGAGAGCAAGGTTGGAACTTAAGGGGTAGAGCTTAAGGGAGGGCTTGCAATCTAGGCAGAGGGAATTACTCTCTCCAAGGCATTGTCCTTCCAAGGACTTGACACTCCAAGGTATGATGGTCTGCACGCTCCCTAAACCCACTTGGCATGTGTCCATTTGCACTGGAGTTATGTGTTCTGACACGTCGGGCATGAAAAGTCACACGCAAGACAGAATTGTGTCAGAATCAATGCTATTCTTGAAAGTCCCTTTTTCCAGTAGCGATTAGCCACTTGTCCTTCTGTTGGTGCCGACCGTGGTTCTTTGGTTGAGCACATCTGGCCAAGTACCTGACTTGCAGTCAGGGCCAACTCGCATGACCTGTTCTTGACTCTGAACACAGGAGAGGCATGTGGAAATAAGACTTCTCAGAGGAACAGCATGTTGCCATCTTCCTTCTCGTGGATACTCTTGAAAATATGGGATCATCTGCTTTGGGTTGAAATAAATTATTTAATTCTGATACTGGTTTTGTTTTTTTTTTAACCTTTCTAGGTGAAAATGAATTACTTAAATTTTCTTACATTCGGACGTCTTATGACAAGATCTTGCTGAAATGGGAGCCGTATTGGCCCCCCGACTTCCGAGACCTCCTGGGATTCATGCTCTTCTACAAAGAGGCGTAAGTAGAAGGATAAAGAGGTGTGTTTGTTGCATATGTTCTCAGAGGCTCCCCTCTGAGGTTCCTTTCTATCTTCTTACTTGTGGAATAAATATCATAGATCTCACCAGTTGATGGTGTATGACGTCCATAACATTCCCTATTGTCAAAAGCCAGAAACTGAAGCAGGCAGGTTTCTTTTGGAGGTCCAGATTGGGCAATATTCCATTTTGCTTCTTATATGTACATCTCACCAGACATCCTCCACAAAAAGTCACTTAGTCTACTTAGTAGGTGCCTTAAAGTTTATTTTTTATCTATTTTGTATTTTTTCCAACATTTGAAGCATTGTGGTAAAACATACATGAAATTGACCATCTTAATGACATTTAAGTGTACCGCTCAGTGGCATTAAGTACGTTCATGACATCGTGTGACCATCATCACCATCCCTCTCCACAGTTTATTCATCATCTCACGCTGAAACTCTGTCGCCTTTCAATAACACCTAGTCGTTTTGAGTATAGGACTGTGCTGAAATTTTAAAGGAAGACAATGGAAGTGGTGATTGTGTTAATAGGAATAATTGTTCCATCCCTCCATATTTTTTTAAATATTTATTTACTTATTTATTTATTTGCCTACATAGGGTCTTAGTTGTGGCACGTGGGATTCTCTCTAGTTGCGGTGCCCAGGCTCCCTAGTTGTGGCCCACAGGCTGTAGAGTGCGTGGGCTTAGTTGCCCCGCGGCATGTGGGGTCTTAGTTCCCCAACCAGGGATTGAACCCGTGTCCTCTGCATTGGAAGGAGGATTCTTAACCACTGGACCACGAGGGAAGTCCCCCATCCCTCAAAATTTACTATGTGTCAGGTTGTGTGTGGCGAAGTCAACACACATCCTCTTGTGTAATCTTATCAATAACTCTGGTAGTTAGTATCATCATCCTGATCACCGTTATTATTGTTGTTAGGAAATTGAGGCATAAGGGAAGCGGTCCCTTTCTCTTTGACTATTCCTGTGTCTTTTTTCCTTGTGGTAGAAGATTGTGGGTGAACAGGGTGCAAGCCTATAGGAGGTAACGTCGCCCGGCCACATCTCTTTGCTCTTTAGAGCTATAGTTGAGAAATGGTAATCAACTTTTCCTATTTCGTCTTGAAAGCCCTTATCAGAACGTGACGGAGTTTGATGGGCAGGATGCATGTGGCTCCAACAGCTGGACCGTGGTAGATATTGACCCGCCTATGAGGTCCAACGACCCCAAGTCACAGAACCACCCCGGGTGGCTAATGCGTGGTCTCAAGCCCTGGACCCAGTACGCCATCTTTGTCAAGACCTTGGTCACTTTCTCTGATGAACGCCGCACATACGGGGCCAAGAGCGACATCATCTATGTCCAGACAGATGCCACTAGTAAGCATTTCTTGTGGATATGAATTTGTGCGTGAATCAGACGTCTTGCGTTTAACAGGCTGACCTGGTGATGTCATATGAAATGCCTTTTTTTTTTTTTCTTGCATGGTTATTGGCTTCTAAAAGAGCCGGGCACTGAGGTTTATCATTTCAGAAGATGAGGCAGTAGCAACAAGACATCAGAGGGGAACATACATTTCTTCTTCCCATTATGGAAAATTTTCAAATATTTACAAAAGTAGGAAAAAAAAAAAAAAGATTCCCCCCACCGCCACCTTGTAACCATCTCTCAGCTTCAACAATGATCAATATTTTGCCATTTTTGTTTCATCACTATGCCTTTTCCCCCATCTCCATTTTTTGACGAGTATTTCATAGCAATTTAGTTGTATTTTCATAAAGCATAAGCCCTCTCCAACCACTGGGATAGGAGACATTTGGTGATACCTGGAGATATTTTTGGTTGGCATGACTGGGGAGGCGGGGTTGGGGACCTGGGATGCTGCTCAACATATCACATGCACAGGACAGCGCCCCCCGGCAAAGAATTATCTAGCCCCCGCAAGTCAGTAGTTGAGAAATCCTGTCCCGTAGGATCGAGTCCAAACTTTATGAACCAGCCCCAACTTTATTGACTACCGCCCTCTCATCCTGTATCCTCCAGCAATACCTCCAGCAGGACTTATAGTTTCTGGAAACTTCCAGCTTCCAGGCTTTTGTACACACTGTGTCCTCTGCCTTGAGACCCCCACTCCCACCCCTCACCGACTCCCTCAGCCACCTCCGTTCTTGAGGGGAAGCTTTTGTGGAGCCCAAAGGTGGTGCCTTTGGGGGGAATGTTAGATGGGCTGCCAGCTCAGGGATAAGATTGAATGGTATCCCACTGCCGAAATTTGCCCCAGGACTGGGTTCATTTGGGGCTAATGTTATCTAGAAGATGTGGCTTTGTCTATTCCCACGATCCTCCTTTTCCCCAGCGCCTTTTCAGTGCCCAGAACAGAGAAAGCTTGGCACGTCGTTGGAGCTCTGTAAATCAGGGGTCCCCGACCTGTGGGCCACAGACCGGTACCAGTCTGCCGCCTGTTAGGAACCAGGCCGCACAGCAGGAGGTGAGCGGCGAGCGAGCAAAGCTTCATCTATATTTACAGCCGCTCCTCATCCCTCGCATTACCACCTGAGCTCCGCCTCCTGCCAGATCGGCGGTGGTATTAGATTCTCATAGGAGCATGAGCCCTACTCTGAACTGTGCACTCGGGGATCTGGGTTGCACGCTCCTTATGAGGATCTAATGCCTCATGATCTGAGGTGGAGCTGAGGCAGTGATGCTAGAGCTGGGGAGCGGCTGCAAATACAGATTATCGTTAGCAGAGAGGTCTGACTGCACAGAGGCCATAATAACTCAACTGCTTGCAGACTCCTATCAAAACTCTATCAGTGAGTGGCAAGTGACACTTAAGCTGCATTTTACAGAGTAGACTGGACATAAGCAACGCACGTCGGGTGTCACTGTCTCCCATCACCCCCAGATGGGACCATCTAGTTGCAGGAAAACAAGCTCAGGGCTCCCACTGTTTCTGCATTCTGGTGAGTTGTATAATTATTTCATGATATATTACAATGTAATAATAATAGAAATAAAGTGCGCAATAAATGTAATGTGCTTGAATCATCCCGAAACCATCCCCGTCTCTAGTCCGTGGAAAAATTGTCTCCAACGAAACTGATCCCTGGTGTCAAAAAGGTGGGGGACTGCTGCCGTAAATGTTTGTTGCAAAAATGGTGGAACATGAAATCTACATAGTCTGTGGTACCCATGGATTGTAATTTTGTAACCCATGCTTTCACTGGGCAAGCATTTCACATGTTGCCAGTTTTCTCTGATGTTAAATAACACTGCAGAGAACATCCTCATGATTTCTCGAACTTGGGTTTTCCCCCTCATGCCCACCTGATGGCTTGCACCCTCCTCCTCCTCCTCACAGTGGACCTGTCTCCTTTCTCCTTGGCAGATCCTTCTGTCCCCCTGGATCCCATCTCGGTGTCTAATTCTTCGTCTCAGATTATTCTGAAGTGGAAGCCTCCTTCTGACCCCAATGGCAACATCACACACTACTTGGTATTCTGGGAGAGACAGGAGGAAGATGGTGAACTGTATGAATTAGATTATTGCCTCAAAGGTGAGTGCAGGCAGAGGCGGGGGAGGGGCCGGATTTTTTTCAATTTTTTTTTTTTAAATTGAAGTATAGTTGATTTAAACTGTTGTGTTACTTTCAGGTGTATAATGCAGTGATTCCGTTATACATATATATTCTTTTTCAGATTCTTTTTCCTTATAGGCTATTACAAAATGTTGAGTAGAGTTCCCTGTGCTATACAGTAGGTTCTTGTTATCTATTTTATACATAGTAGTGTGTATAACATCTGATCCACTTTGTTCTTCTTTTGGGGAAGCATCTCTCCCCTTCCACTTCCCAGCATGTGCATGTGGGCACACACACTCCATTTTATCTCTGACGAAAACACACATACAGGCAGACCTCAGAGATACTGCGGGTTCGGTTCCAGGCTCCCGCAAGGAGGTGAATATTGCAATAAATTGAGTCACGTGAATGTTTTGGTTTCCAGTGCCTATAAAAGTTATGTCCACACTGTACTGTAAGTGTGCGATAGCATTATGTTTAAGAAAAAATATACTTAAAATATACATATTACTGTATTTCTCTTTCTGGCCTATATGTGGAATCTAGAAAAATGATGCAGATGAACCCATTTGCAGGGCAGGAATAGAGATGTAGACGTAGGGAACAGACATGCGGACACAGAGGGGAAGCGGAGAGTGGGACGAATTGGGAGATTAAGATTGACATATATACACTACCATGCATAAAATAGATAGCTAGTGGGAACATGCTGTGAAGGATAGGAAGCTCATAGGAAGCTCATGCCCTGTGATGACCTAGGTGGGTGGGATGGCGGGGAGGGTGGGAGGGAGGTCCAAGAGGGAGGGGATATAGATATACATAGAGCTGATTCACTTCATTGTACAGCAGAAGCTGACACAACATTGTAAAGCAATTATACACCAATTAAAAAATGATTAAAAATATACATGCTGCTGTATATAAAATAGGTAACGTAACCAACAAGGACCTAGTGTATAGCACAGGGAACTATACTCAGTATCTTGTAATAACCTATAATGGAAAAGAATCTGAAAAGAAAATACTGAATCAGTTTGCTGTACACCTGAAACTAACACAACATTGTAAATCAACTCTATTTCAATAAAAATTTAACAAAGAAGAAATCGAGACTAAAAAAAATAACAACCCAAACAATGCACATACCTTAATTAAAGAATACTTTATTGCTAAAAAAAAATTGCCCAATTACAATAGTAACATCCAAGACCACTGATCCCAGATCACCATGACAAATATAATAAAAATGAAGAAGTTTGAAATATTGTGAGAATTACCAAAGCGTGACACAGACATACGAAGTGAGCAAACGCTGTTGGGAAAATGGCACTAATAGACTTGTTCAACGCAGGGTTGCCGCAAACTTTCGATTTGTAAGAAAAACACAATAAGAGGAGGAGGTCTGCCTGCCTGTTCGCATTTCTAAACATCACAGCGTGAGGACACGCTCTGAAGACTCCTGTCAAAAACAGACACTCCCTATGTCTTGGCATCATTTCCCTCTGGAATTTTCTCCTCCTTCCCTTCCTTATCCACCTCCCCTGGTAGGGGTGTAGCTGTGTTAACCCACGCAAGACTTCCCTCCGAAGCTAGAAACACAGCCGATGTGTGGAGTGGTGATTGGCAAAGTCAGGGAAGAATTTTCGCCCCTAATTTTAGACCCTTAAGTTGTAAGGACCAGAGAAAGCAAAGAGTGATCATCTCTTCCCTCCTGGGCTTTCCATTCAAAATTTATACTAATGACACATTTTTTTCCAGTCTTTAATCTCATGTACTTAATGGGCTTCCATCCATCTACAGGAAAAGGGAAAAATATTTGAAGCCTCAAACTAGTGTGTATAAATTAGTTTAAGATTATTTTAAAAGTGGATTTTAAAAAAGCCCATCAAACTGGAGAAACAGAGTCTTGTTTTTTCGTTAGTTGTTTTGTTTTGTTTGAGTCTATATAAAGTATTTTTCCCCCAATCCCGACTCTTTTTTATTTTTATTTTTTAAAAATTTGATTGGAGTATAGTTGATTTACAATGTTGTGTTAGTTTCAGGTGTACAGCAAAGGGATTAAGTTATACATATACCTAGATTCATTCTTTTTCAGATTCTTTTCTCATATAGGTTATCACAGGACACCGAGTATAGTGCGCTATACAGTAGATCCTTGTTGGTTATCTATCTTATATACAATAGTGTGTGTATGTTCATCCCAAGCTCCTGATTTATCCCTTAGTTGTCTTGTTGTTGTTGATTGCTTGGCCTGTATTTCTTTTTCTTTAGATGTTTTGAGTTACTGGTATCCTCAGACCTTGGGGCCGCTGATGAGACGTGGCTGAGGTCGGGAGCCTGAGGTCTTCTCTGACCTGCTGTAGGGCTTTGGGCAAGTCACTGAGCTTGTCACTGGCTGCCTCCTTTTGGGGAGAAGGGGCGGGAGGCCAGATAATCTCTGGACGCTGTCCCAGCTCTAAGATCATGTGCTATATGTATGCCTGTGACCTCATCCCCCGCCTGAGCAGAGGGTTGCAAACGTGATTTATCTCCTTGGATGCTTTATATAACTTGAGAGCAAGCAAAGTCATAGGCTCAGCTGTCAGCTGTCGGCCCTGCATGTGAGTAACCGAAACCGCCAGCTAGAACTGCCAGCAGCATCAGGATAGGCCATGTTTTCTTTTTCTCTTTCTTTCTTTCTTTTTTAGAGCAACAACTTTTATTCTGGAAGTCTGAATCTCTCATTACCATATGACAATTTGACATGGTTTTATTTGTAATGATGCCAAAGTTTATGTAATTAAAAAATAAACTTACCAAGGATGGATATCGTATGATGCAACTCTTAGGAGGTCCCTAGAGGAGTCAAATCCACAGAGACAGGAAGCCGGATGGTGGGTGCCAGGGGCTGGGGGAGGGGCTGGGGAGTGAGTGTTTCATGGGGACAGAGTTTCAGTTTGGGAAGATGAGAAAGTTCTGGAAAGGGAGAGTGGGGACGGTTGCACAATAATGTGAATGTACTTAATGCCACTGAGCTGTGCACTTAAAAATGATTAGGGTGGTAACTTTTTGTCATGTATATTTTGCCACAATTAAAAACCCCAAATACACACACAAATTAATAAGCTTTCTAACACACGCAAGATCGATAATTTACTAACCGTGCCCAGTAGTAGCTTCCTTTAGTATCACAAGTGGTTTTTTTCCCAGCTTTATTGAGGTGTACTTGATAAGTAAATGGCAAGATATTTAAAGTGTAAATTGTGATGATTTTATATACATACAGATTTTGAAAGGATCCTTCCCATCTAGTTAATTAACACATCTATCACCTGATATATTTATCTCTTTCTTTGGTGAGAACTTTTAGCTTCTCCTCTGATATCGAATTGTTTATTTCATTTATACAGTACAGTCTTATCAACTATATGGCTTTTTATTGTGGAATATATATAACATAAAATTTACCATTTGAACTACTTTTTTTTTTTTTTTTTTTTTTTGCGCTACGCGGGCCTCTCACTGTTGTGGCCTCTCCCGCCGCGGAGCACAGGCTCCGGACGCGCAGGCTCAGCGGCCATGGCTCACGGGCCCAGCCGCTCCGCGGCATGTGGGATCTTCCCGGACCGGGGCACGAACCCGTGTCCCCTGCATCGGCAGGCGGACTCTCAACCACTGCGCCACCAGGGAAGCCCCATTTGAACTACTTTTAAGTATACAGTTCAGCGGCATTAAATACATTCACACTCTTGTGCAACCGTCCCCAGCGTCCATCTCCAGAACTTTCTTGTTTTCCCAAACTGCAAACTTTGTCCCCATTAAACACTGACTCCCCACCCCCTCCCCCATCCCCTGGTGCCCGCCTTTCTACCTTGTCTCTACGCATTTGACTGTCCTAGATACCTCACTATATAGTCACAGAAAATCCACGGGGCACCAAGTGTCATGCAGAAGGGGTGACGGGTGTCAGGAGCTATGTCCATGCCTGATCAAAAGTCCCTTCCTCCCCAGAAAAAGATCAGGACCCCACCCCAACCTTTTACTAAGGAAATCTGAAGGTTTGTTTTTTTTTTTTTATCCATAATGCCATCAATAGCCCCTCTAACAGCTAACCCACACAGGTGATTCCATGTCTATTAATAAACGTTAAGAAGAAGTATTTTTTAAGGATTTTGCAAAGCTTCCGAGTGGGTACTCACCATTCACAGGAAGATACTTTGAACTCATTGTCTAGCAGAGCCATTGAAAGGGAGAGGAAGAGATGGAATTTCCCTTGCTCAATAGATTCGAGTAGGCACCCAGGATCAGGGGCGTGCTTTTTGCCCTTAAGGAGTAACCTACCTCCTCCAGGTTGTACCAGAAGTGACAGGCAGCAGGCATCCCCGGGACTGGACCTCAGGGGTCAAGACACACCAGCTGTGGTACTTAAAAAAACAGTGTGGTATTTTTAAGAGCATGACCTTGAGCAGTTGTTCTTTTTTCCCTTTATAAAAAATTCTCTTTTCTGTGCTTCTTGGAAAAAGTTCTTCCCCCGATTTCCTTTCATGTCTTTCATCCATCACTGTTGACATTGGGGGCCAGATAATTCTTTGAGGTGGGGGCTGTCTTGTGTCAGGTAAGATGTTGAGCGGCATCCCTGGTGAACACCAAAATGTCACCAGACCAAGCCCGTTGTCCTGCCGAGGGGGGTGGGGGGCAGTGCTGAATCACCCCTGCCCTGGTGAGAACCACTGCTCTGCTCTGACTTCCGTTTTCCTGAACGGATTGTAGATTCTTTCATTTGTGCTGCAAAGTTTGGTTGCTCAGTATAAACACTGGGTCTGTAAGTCTGACCCCTTAGAATTCCATTGGAATTCTGCTCTGTCCTCTTATCCCTTTATAGTTACCTGGTTGATTGATGATTCATTCATTCAACTGTGACTTGGTCCCCAGTCCTTTTCTAATGCCACCTCCCATCATTCTCTCCCTTATCCCCTTCCAGCTACACTGGGTCCTTGGCGTCTTCTGACATGCCAAGGAAATTCCTACCTCAGGGCCTTTGCACTCACTCTTTGCTGTCTGAATTGCTTTACACCAAGATATGTGCATGGCTCATTCTTTTACTTCCTTGGGGACTGCTTAGTGGTCACTTTCTCAGAGACATTCCCCCCCCCCAGACACCCTCTGTCCTTTCACCCCACCATTGGACCCATGGCATATGTATTTATTAGTTTATTGTGTATTCCTCCCATCCCCACGTACCTCGTCCACTGGAATGTAGGTTCTGTGAGGGCAGGGACATACCTCGTCACCTTCAGCATCTAGCCCTATGGGGTTGTGGTGTCTGACATTTTCCTGCTGCACATCCACAGGTGCCTTCTCAGTTGTCAGGACCCTCCAGTGAGAGATCTTATTTTTCCCAGTAGACCTTGAACAAAGACCCTGGCCCCGAGCTCTGTCCCCTGTGCCCAGCAGCTCTGAGAAGGCCCCCTTTGCTCTGCGTGTATGTATGTGTGTAGTGGGGTGGAACTTGAGCCCCGCTCTGGCTTTCTCCAGGGTTGAAGCTGCCCTCCCGGACCTGGTCTCCACCGTTCGAGTCTGAGGGGTCCCAGAAGCACAATCAGAGTGAGTACGAAGAGTCTGCCGGTGAATGCTGTTCCTGTCCGAAGACCGACTCTCAGATCCTCAAGGAGTTGGAGGAGTCCTCATTCAGGAAAACATTCGAAGATTACCTGCACAATGTCGTTTTCATCCCCAGGTCAGCATTTGTCATTGGCTTGGGGTCTGGGGTCCTTATTTAGGGAACAAGATGAAGTGCAGAAGCAGAGAGTGGGCAGAGTCCACGGTGAGCCACTTCCCTGGAGGGAGGGAGAGATCTTGCGATTTCAACAACTACCATACCAGGAAGAGTGAATAATCGCCAAAAAAAGTGTGTGGGGGGGTGTTTTTAAAAAACTCAACCTTTGCTTTCTTTCATTTATTTTTGGCTGCGTTGGGTCTTAGTTGCAGCACATGGGATCTTTGTTGAGGCATGTGGGCTTCTCTGTAGTTGTAGCATGCGGGCTCCAGGGCGTGTGGGCTCTGCAGTTATGGTGCACGGGGTCCAGAGCACGTGGGCTCTGTAGTTTGTGGCAAGCGGGATCTCTGGTTGAGGCGCGTGAGCTCAGTAGTTGTGGCGCACGGGCTTAGTTGTGCGCCCATGGCATGTGGGATCTTAGTTCCCTGACTAGGGATCGAACCCGTGTCCCCTGCATTGTAAAGCGGATTCTTTACCACTGGACTGCCAGGGAAGTCCCTGAAGACATTTCTTTCCGATGTCTCATGAACTCTTTACCCCAGCCTCTGGCCTCATTCTGAGTTCTGAAACGATCTCCATTAGATTACCAACAATTGATTATTATCTAATAGATGATTATAGATAATAATCAATAATCGATAGATTCAATTATTAGATTAGATGACCGAGAAGTGCCTGCCTGGCCCCATGCTTGATTTGTGGATGAGTCTCAAGCTCAGTGCATTCTCTTTTTAAAATCTATGTCACCTTCTTACCCTTTCAGAACTTTCCATGACCTCTTAAAAACTCCGGAGCTTCTCCTATTTAAATATTTTTCCTTTAGTGAGTGACGGGGCTTGCTTGCTGATGCACATCTGATCTACAGAGAGGGCTTGCCTTAAAAATGATGCTGTTTTTTTCATACTTCTTTACCTTTCCTGCAAGCAGAGACACTTAGGTAGAACGCAAATTTCTGTGGGTCGCGGGTTAGTTTACCTCTCTCGGTTCCTCAGTTTATTCATCTGAGGAGTGGAGAGAAAAGTGGTTCCTGCTTTTTAGGATTGTGAGATTATACGAGTGATACGGGGATTCTCAACCTTGGCGCCATTGACGTTTGGAGTCAGATCGTTCTCTGGGGTGGGACCGTCCTGTGCGTTGTAGGATGTTGAGCAGCGTCCCTGGCCTCCACCCACTAGATGGCAGTAGCACTGCATCTTATGAGTTCATGAATTTTTACAGTAACCCACTGAAGCACTTGCCATCTCCTTTTTAGGGGTCCAAAGCCTGTGGTTTTGTTTGTTTTTTGCTTATGAATGACTCTGCCCAGGGTTTTTTGTTTGTTTGTTCGTGGTACGCGGGCCGCTCTCCGGCCGCGGAGCACAGGCTCCGGACGCGCAGGCTCAGCAGCCATGGCTCACGGGACCAGCCGCTCCACGGCATGTGGGACCCTCCCGGACCGGGGCACGAACCCGCGGCCCCTGCATCGGCAGGCGGACTCCCAACCACTGCGCCACCAGGGAAGCCCTGCCCAGGTTTTTAATCAAATGTGTGCTGAGGGCTTTCAGCTGCCCCTCCCTCTCCACACTTGACCTCCCCCTCCCGCCATGGACTTCACCAGGCTACTCAGAAATGTCCAATACAATTGGTCATTTCCAAAGTATATCGACACCCCCCCACTCCCACATTTACATCAGGATAAAACAAGATTCTAAAATGCGTCTCTTCAAAGACCCAGCAATGCTCCTGGGAGAGGTTTCCCCAGAACCATCAATATATAACATTTCTTCTTTTCTCTTTCTTGCATTCTTATCTGACCCTGAGTCCAAAAGACCACTAAATGACACAGCCCAGGCCTGGAGGTAGTTACTGTTTTACCTGTTAAAACACTGACTTTAGGATAATGGCTGAGTCAGTTGTGAGGTTTAAAAGTGGTGTTAAGTTTGACATCCCATGGGAACCCCAGATGACCAGGTCTCTGGGGGGTGTTTTCTCTGCTTCTCCCCTGCCCCCCCAGCCCCTGGCTGTGTTCTCCGCATCTGCTGGGGAAGGTGTGGTTCAAGTGATGGGAACAAGTGGTCCATGGTCCAGGGCTGTCCTCAAAGCGGCTGGTTTTGTTTTCACAGAAAATCCTCTTCAGGCCCTGTTGCCGAGGACACTAGGTACGACTCACCTGTGGGACGTAGGCGTGGCCCGTGGTGGCTGCACAGCGCGGGGCCAGTGGGCCAACGGGTCAGGAAGCATGTTGGGCCCCTTTGAGGCCCCAGGGGGCTTCTGTGGTTTGACGCATGCACCGCTCTGCTCTGCCGCGACCAGGCGCTTCACAAATTCACACGTTAAGTGCCTTCACCCTGAAATGGGATCTGGGCGTGAATGTGGGGGGAAAAATCCTAACTAACACACTCTTACTAAAACATAGAATCGAGGGCGTACTTTCTGGGCACCTCCTAGGTGCCGCCCATTTTTTCCTCCATGCATTTACTAACTACACATTAATTTATCTAGCTGCAGAACTGTGCCCGGCGCCCAGAGTCGAAACCACTTAGCGGCAGGTAGTGGGGAAGGCTGATCCGGGAGCGGAACATTTTTATTGGGGGTGACAAGTGCGGGATGACAGGTGTGAGTGAGCACAGGTGTGCCGAGTCCCTCAATTCTGCTGAGGATGGTCAAGGGTGCTTGCCTTTGACGTGTGTTTTAAAGAATCAACTATGCTTCAATATTAAAAAAAAGAAAGAAAAAAGAAAGAAAAGAAAAAAAAAGAATTAAGCAGGGGGCGTGTCCTGGAGGAGAGTACAGGCAGAGGGAACTTGGGGAAAGGCAAGTCGGTGGAAAGAATCCTGGACTCTTGGGAAGGACAGGAGAGACTGGAAAGACAGGGTAGGGGCCATGCGGAGGGACTTTATTCTTCCAGCAGAGGGTTTATTTATTTATTTTTAGGCCGTGTGCGGTCCCGATCTGCCCTCTAGTGGTCATTAGGAATATAACCTGTAGTAAAGAAAGGTCTAGAAATTTGAGGCCTTGATCCAGACGAGAGCTTATCAATGTCAGACCTTTTGACATTTGGGGCCAGATCGTTCTCAGTTGTGGGGACTGCCCTGTGTATTGTAGAATCATGAGCTGTAGCCTTGGTCTCTACCGCTTTGAAGCCAGTGTCACACCATACCCCAAATAGTGACGACCAAAGCTGTCTCCAGACAGGCCAAATGTCCCCTTGGTGGTAGGACCATGAGCAGAGTCACTCCTGGTTGGGAACCACTGGTCTACTGTGAGACTGTGGGATAATAAAGTGCTGTGTATGTAGGGAGAGAGAGAAGTCAGTTGATGCTTTGTCATGGGGGTGTCTTTCATGACCACGTGGTCTTTTGGGGTACAATCCTTCTGGTGTATGCATAGTTAGCCTGTTTGAGGCCATTTACGTTTCCCTTCGTTCAGATATCAACTTCTCAGTGGTTATTCACGAGGCCCCAGTGTCTCTGTCCTATTTGGAAGACCCATCTGTGCTTGCACAGAAATGTTCTGAACCTTGCTAATATGCGTGCATCTTTGGTTTAATAGCTTTGGTTTCCATTCAAGAATGTCATTGGTCTTTTCACACAAAAAAGACCACAAAGAAAATCTTAGTGAGTACTCCCGAAGTAGGGTTTGATTTCTGACTACAGCGCAATAAAAACTAAAGGTAAACTTCAAAAGATTGAACAGAAAACTCTACTTCCTGGTGATTAAAAGTGGATCACTTAGACTTCTGTTGGGTGAAAGTCGAAATGGAAAGTTTCATTAAAAACCGTTTGGAAAATAACGGAGACGTGAACGTCACATACCTTCACTTGTAGAATATTGCCGAAGCTGGACTTTGTTGCAAATTAGTAGACTTAAATGGTAAATTAAGAAAAAGCTTTAAAATGTAAGATATAATGTATTAGGAAGGGAGGGGAAAATCAATATAGCTTAACTTGTGGTAAATGTAATCAAAGGGAGATACCCACAAATAACTAGAAGAAGGTGATGTAAAACTGAAGTCTGACAAAGATTTTGCTATGTTGCAGTCTATGGATAATCATGAGCTATTAGATTTGAAACTTTCAGAGAGTTGAGAAATTTTAACTTGTCCAAGCTAATGCAAGAAGCAGCAGAAAGATATCCTAATAACCTTGGGGAAAGACTTTAAAAAAAAGTGTCAATTAATTTCTTCAAAAAAAAAAAAAAAACAAGACCTCAGGCTTGGAGAGTTTTCTAGTTGAGTTCTTTCACACTCTCAAAGAGCAACTATTTTCTGTAATACAGAAACTTTTCCAGAGCATAGAAATCTATGGAAAATCTTCCCAGTTCATTTGATAAAACTAACATAGAACCCCTTAGCAGAACCTGACAAAGATGCTATGTTGAGAGAAAACCCAGAACCAGCTAATATGGGATTTTAGATCCACATGTCCTAAATAAAACACTGTGCTGGCAATATCATTTATCTCACAATGCAAGGATGGTTCAAGATCAGGCATTCTGCTAATAGAATCTAATTCATTAAGAGGTGCAGTGAGGAAAATCACAATAATCTCATTCAATAACATTTATTAAAAATTATTAATTTAGAGAAAGGGAGGGGGAGAGGCCTTTTATAAAACTAGGAATAGAAAACTTCTGCAACAAGATAAATATTACCTAGATGAAACCAACAGCTGAGCTAACATCTTTCTTAAAACTATTCCTGTTAGCTTTGGAAGGAAGCCAATCTCATCATTACTAAGGAACATTTCTCTGGGTATCTAGCCAATGCAGTGTTACAGAAATTAGAATTGTAAGGAGTGGACTGTGGGAAATAAAGTCATTGATATTTTCAGGTATTCTAGTGCAAGGGTAAGCAGACTACCTGGTTTTGTCAATGAGTTTTATCGGAATGTAGCCACGTCCATTTGTCTACATTGTGTCAATGGCTGTTTTCAAGCTGCCATGGCTTGAAAGCCATTGGAAGTTGAATAGTTGTGACAAAAATCACATGTCCCGCAAAACCCTAAATATTTACTATCTAGCACGTATGGGAAAAGTTTGCTGACCCTTTTTCAAGTATGTTCCTTGAAAACCTAAGAAAATCAACCCTGAGACTCTTAGAATGAGAGTTTGGGAAAGTAGGTACAATAGAAAGAAACAAGAATGCAGTAGATATACTAGCAACAATTAAAACATAAATCAGGGGAAAGGTCCCTTTCATGATTGCCCTAAAACCTTAGTAATCCCATCTAAAATTAGCTGTAAAGGAAAAAAAATTATTTAAATTGCTGAGATATAAACTTACGTAGATAAATGTGAAAGATTCTTTCAAATCATTTCAAGAAAACTCACTGGCACACAGCAAACCAGGGTGAATCGATAAAGGATTAATGTCCTTTGTGAATGAACAGCTCAGGAATAGGAATGAGGAAGGCCCTAGAACTTCATAGAAAGGATGGGCAAAGGGTGGACAAATCCTTAGTGAAACACAAAAGAATCAATGAAGGACAGAAGACTTTACATTCAGCAGGACACAGAGGTGCAAATAAAGCAGTAGAGTAATGCTTAAAAAATTTCTTTCCTGAGGTTGAAAATCTGAAAAGGAAAAATCAAAACAAAACAAAAACTCCTTTTAACCCTCAACGTTGCCGAGATTATCCTGATGTGTAGTTTCATGCGTTACTGGTGAGACCACAGTCAGTACAAAGGGTCTGGAGGATAGAAGTTTAGCCATACGTGCAAAGAGGCATAACCTAGTGATTGCTCTTCTCAGAATCTACTTCTAGGAACTAATAAGACAATCAGATGATGATCAAATTAATATTTATAATAACAAAAAATTAAGAATATGCTTACATTAAAAAATAAGATGACTAAGTAAATTATGGCTCACGTATGAAATGGAATAGTCTACAGTTTTCCAGGTTTTCTGCAATGAGCACGTGGTACTTTCATAACGAGGAGGGAGAACCTTTACATTGAAAAAGAAAAAATGTAAATTCTGTCCTACTTCAAACATTATGTTTTCAGGGAAATATCTGAGAATGCTTCTAATACAAGTGAACAAAGTGTATTATAAAACTAGCTTGGTCCCCATCATACCCATACATAATAAAAAAATTGCCCAAAGGACACAGTGGCCAGCAGAATAATGAGTAAATTCAAACTTTCTTGATACCGTTTTTTTGGATTTATATATTTTTTAGGCTATTAACATTTTTCTTCATCTATCTTTTTAAGGAGGAAAATGTGCCAATCGCAGACATTTTTTGAGTTACCGTTAGCAACCTGAGTGATAAGATTCTCTTCCCAAGAACTGAAGTATAATCACTTAGATTATGCAGGTGTCCTAAAGGGTCATAGGACCAGAAGCATTTCTCCTGATGAAACTGGTGATGTTGTCAAGCAGCTTGGACCATTTGCCAGGGCTTCCTGAAAAGCTAGACTCTTACACGCTTTCGGCATCTTAACACTGACCCTGGCTGGGCTATTAACCTGCAAAATGAGAATATGAAATCAAGCATGTTGAGGGGAATATTGGTGTGTCTCCTACGGATGGTCCTGGAGCCCTTTCCCCCCCTACTTCCCTCTTGGGGTGCACCTGCCCGACATGATGCCTATGAGGGCATCCTGAAAACTGCTCTGGGTTGTAATTCCTGGAAATTAACATTGTAATCCACACTCCCCCTGGAATCTCACTGCACCCGCAGTCTTTGGTTTTAAGCCTTTTATTCTCCGGCAACGTTTTTTAAAAGATGGTGATTGCCTGACCGGGTGTGTCCTACTGTCGTGACAGGCCGTCGAGGAAACGCAGGGCCCTTGGTGATGTGGGGAATGTGACAGCGGCCGTGCCCACCGTTCCGGGATTCCCCAATACGTCCTCAACCAGCGCACCTACGAGCTCAGAGGAGCACAGACCATTCGAGAAAGTGGTGAACAAGGAGTCTCTGGTCATCTCTGGCCTGCGTCACTTTACTGGCTATCGCATTGAGCTGCAGGCTTGCAACCAGGATTCCCCCGAGGAGAGGTGCAGCGTGGCTGCCTATGTCAGTGCCAGGACCATGCCCGAAGGTGGGTCAGCTCGCATCGTGGGGCCAAGAGCCCCAGGCTGACCAAGGAAAAGCCTTCCGCCCTCTAGGCAGCGTATACGTGATTTTAACTTATTCGCCTCAATCATTTTTCATTTTCCCCCAGCTTTATTGAGATGTAATTGATGTATAACATTGTGTAAATTTAAGGTGTACAATGTGTCGGTTTGATGCACTTACATATTGCAAAAGCATTCTCGCAGTAGCGTTAGCTAACATCTCCGTCAGGGCACATAAGTACCATTTCTTTTCTGTGGTGAGAACATTTAAGATCTACTCTCTTAGCAGCTTTCAAGTATACAACAGAATATTGTTAACTATAACCACCATGCTGTACATTAGATCCTCAGAACTTATTCAGCTTATCAATGGAAGTTTGTAACCTTTGACCAACATCCCCCCATTTCCCTCACCGCCCCCCCCCCGCCCCTGGGAACCACCATTCTACTCTCTGTTTCTACGAGTTCAGCTTTTTTATCATCCACATATAAGTTAGATCATACACTATGTGTCTTTCTCTGTCTGGCTTTTTCCCTTAACATAATGCCCTCAAGGTCCATCCATGTTAACCTCTATTATTTTGTAATTATATGAGTCATCATAGCCATTATATAAACTTTAGAAAGTACACACGGGCCATAAGAAAAATAAAGTAAAATTAAGGAATACTTATACAGTGTATTAGGGTTCTCCAGAGAAACAGAACCAACAGTGTAACTGAAAGTGGGGTCCGGCTGCTTGCTGTTCAAAAGCCAATAAAGGGGCAAGGTGGGTGGAAAGGAAAATTTGCTTTATTTTGGATGGTGGCAACTGGGGGGTGAGGGGAGGGCGGACACTTGTCCAAAGGCCAACTCCCTCCCAACGACAGTCAGTAGGCAAGAGCTTTTCTAGATGGAAGGAGGGGGCTACATGCAGAAACAGCACAGTCAGCTCTGACAGTCATCTTGAAATTGGTCATCAGTGGTCTGACCAGCGTCATCTTGATTGTTTTAAGTCTGGTTAGTCTTTAGTTCCAGGGTTGGTTTGTTTCCATTATTTTGAGGCCAATTCTTGGAATTGTGGCAGCTTATGTCATGGGTACAGTCTGGTCATCATGTAGTTAACGTGTCCACCTGGCGAGGGTTTCAGTATCTATAAGACAGCTCACAGGATAGGGCTCAGAATATTATCTATAGCCCTTGAGAAGGAACTCAAGGTCCCTGACTTTGCTTAATGACTAAATTATTATTATTTGGTCTCCTTTGACGGTTTTCCTTTGTTTCTGCATTTTCTCCCTTCTCTGATCGAACTTATTCTTTGGCTACAGTTTTTCCACAGACAAAAGGCAGGCGGAGGACATGGGGGACACAGACCATAGGGCCCCTGCTCCATTTCAACAGGATATGACATAGATCAATCGATTGATAGACAGACAGACATAAATATGTAGAGAATCCCATGAGACGAGCTCTATATGTCCATTCTCCAATATGGGAAATGGAACACAAGAAAGTTACGTACCCAGTTTAAGGTCACTCAGCTGCTAAGTGGTGGAGGTGGGATTTGATCCAGGGATCGGGTCCCTGCCTCTAACCACTGCCCCTTACAGCCAAGGCAGATGATATTGTTGGCCCCGTGACCCACGAAATCTTCGAGAACAACGTCGTTCACTTGATGTGGCAGGAGCCCAAGGAACCCAACGGTCTGATCGTGCTGTACGAAGTGAGTTATCGACGATACGGCGAAGAGGTAAGATCCGTGACGCCTGGGGATGTACCTCCTTCTTCTTCTTAAATTCTGGCTCTAGTGCTTCTCTCATTAGGTGCTTCGTCATGAGGCCTCAAAGCCTTGATATGTGACTTTCCAGGGAGATGGGTCAGAAATGTCAAAATGTGAAAATAATATGTCTCTCGGGACCAATGAAGTGCAGTACATCCTCAGAATAACCCAGATGAGCTTGGTACTGACTGAAGCATCCAGAATTTAAACATGAGGCATCCAAGGTTTATAAGAATAGAGTCAGGATTCAAACCCAAGACTCTCTGATGTTCTAATCCAGGGGTCGGCAATTCTTTTCTGTAAAGGGCCAGATAGGAAACACGTTTGGCTTTGTGGTGAGATGGTGTCTGATGCAAATACTCACCTCTGCCTTTGCATTGTGTAAGCTGCCGTGTAGACAATACGTAAATGAAGGGGTATGGTTGTGTGCCAATAAAACTTTATTTGCAAAAACAGGCAGCAAGCAGGCTGGGATTCGCTGGTCCCTACTCTTAAGCCTGTAACCACTGTGGGGCAGGTCTCTATCCCCAGAAAGGGCTTGGGGTCTACACCTGTCAAGAGAGGCACTGCTGGGGCGTGGACCTGATTAAGGATATTTCTCCCTTTTACTGGGTGACTTCAGGCAGATGTCAAGTTACCTACCTGAGTTTGACCCGGAGGGTGTACCCTGCCATCAGTTGAGCCTTTTGCAATGATCCATTTATACCTCACAATGACCCTCTAAGGGAAAATCTGCTAGTGTCTCCATTTATGGCTGAGAGAATGGAAATTTGGGGAGCTGAAGAGACTTTCTCAAGGTCATACACCCAACACTCAAACCCAGATCCTTGGGCTCTGGTGCCTGACGTCGGTAATTAAGGGTGATTAGGTGGATCAGAGGTCGTTTTCTATAAAGGGCCAGGGAGTTAATACTTTCAGCTTTGGGAACCATACAGTCTTGGATCAACTGCTCAACTCTGCTGTTAGAGCTCCAAAGCAGACACAGACAATACAACAATGAATGGGAGTAGTTGTGTGCTAATAAAACTTTATTTACAAAATCAAGCAGTGGACCGGATTCAGCCTGCGGGCCCTAGTTTGCCAGCCCCTAAGAGAAATTGTAGCCAAACTGTCCGACTTCTTGGAACTTTGAGGGAGAGTCATCCTGTAACCAGGTGGGCAGAGCTTGGCTTCCGCAAGCCAGAGAGGACAGATGGACCTCTCTCTGTTGATCCTTCCTGGGACCACATCTCTTGATGTCCAAATATTCAGCTTTGATGATGATTTAGAACTGAAATCTGCAAACTATCATCTGTGGACCAAATCTGGCCCTCGGCCTGTTTTTATATGTCCTGCAGAGCGTTGTCAAAAGAAACAAGGAAAACTGTGCACCAGCGTGAGTCCAGTGGCCAAGCCCAGCATCAGTATAGGAGGGGAGCCCTCAGGGGTGTATGAAGAGAGGCATGATTCATAGGGAGCCGTTACTGCAGAGTTGATTTAATATCTTATCCCAATCCCTGTTCTAAGGAAATAATTCAAATTTGGGGTGGTGGTAAAGCTTTCTGCGTAAGATTTTCACCACTAGCAAAAAGTACAAGCCACTAGATACCTGTCCATTGGAGAATGGCTACATAGAGGATGGTATATCCATAAAACTCGTGGATGTACAGCCCTTTACAATGATGTTGGGGGTGACCGTTGTCCAGTATAATGTAGAGGTTGAGATGACAGGCTCTGGATGTCAGATCTTCCAAGCTGTTATTCTTCATCTTCCACCAGCAGCCAAGAAACACCCCCCCACCCCATCCAAAGTAGCTTATGACAAAAGGGAAGCTTATTAGCTCCCATAACTGAACAGTCGAAGGAGATCAGGCGCAGCTGGATCCAGAATTCCTTTGGATCTGTTGCACCTCAAGGGGTCCTTGCCGTGATCCCAGCAGCTCCTGATCGTCCTGTGATTTTAGTGGTTCCAATCTTCATATCCTCTCAGTGCCAAGCCTAGAGGGAGAGAGAGTCTGTGTCCCGGCATTTCCAGCCATGCTGAGGTCACGTGACACCCAATCCTATGACCATGACAGTGCTGTGTGCTGATTGGCTCAGGCATGAGGGTTTTAAAATAACAGCTTAATTGAGGTACCTTCACATACCATAAAATATACCCATTTAACACATACAATTCAATGATTTTTAATATAGTCACAGTTGTGCAACCATCACCACAATTTCAGAACATTTTCGTCACCCAGCAAAGAAAGCCCACCTCCTTAGCCATCAACCCCCAATCTTCCCTGCTCCCTCCTCCTCCAGCCCCTGGCAATCACTAATCTGCCTTCTGTCTCCATGGAGACAGGTCTCTGCTACTGAGGCCAACTCATCCCCATTTGCCTGGCATTTCCCAGGTTTGAGCATTGAAGTCCTGCATCCCGAGATCATCTGGGTAAACTGGGACAGTTGTTACCCTACTGGCATTGGACCCAACCCTAACTTCTCGCAGCCGCCTTCACTGGCCTGCCTCTCTCGTTCCTGGAGCCCAGGTGTTGCCAGTAGGAATTCTCACCACCAATCTCCACCATAACCTCTGCCCTGCATAGCCCTGGGACCTGCATGGACCCTGATCCTAGACAGACGAGCCCTATTTGCTCTTTAGGGGAACAGGGGGGTAGAGGGAAAATCAGGAGTGAGAGGTTACAATACGTTAAAAGAAAAAAAAAAAAACTTATAAGCAAAACTGGGCGATTATCTCCATTTTCCATAATTGTCTAGCATCGCTTTGGTAAAGTAAAAAGTAATATAAAAAAACTATTTTTATACCGTTTGTGCTGTTGGGATATGATTTTGCTAGTTTTACAAAATTCTCTCCAGCATTTGGTGGGAGGTCATTTCCCCCCCTTATTTGCTAGTTTAACAGCCAAAATCACCTCTAGCTGCATTGTTTTTGATTCTGCCCCTCCTTGAACCTTGCATTAGAGTCATTTTTCCCCTCACCACTTCCCTTCCCACCTTGGGGGATCCTGGTACCAGGGACCACCCCCATCCTGGAAAGAGCATCGATTTTCAGTTTTTGTGCCCTTATATCCTTTGCTTCAGTACGTTTTTGCAGTTTTAGCTGTTTTTTTTTTTCTCCTGTTTGCACAAACTTCTGTAATTGGCTTTGTCACTCTTCATCAGATTTGCTTCTTTTTTGTTTTGCTTTTTTGGTGTCTATGGAGAGAGCTGCCTCTAGTTCCTTCCAACATGCTCCCTTCTCCATCCCCACCCCTCGAGGTACATGGCCAGCACTGTAGGATGTATTTCCCCTTTATCCCGGATAGCAGCTACCTTTCGTTTCTATATTTGCTTATTTGTCCCTTTCCACTTGGTGACTCATTTTACTTGGAAGAACCTTTGGACTAGACTTCCCCACCCCTGCCGCCAGCCCGATCTGTTTTCTTGCTGTTATTGTCACATGATAAGCGCGGGAGTTTTTATGTTTCTCTCTCTCTCTCTCTCCACTCCTTCCTGAAATTTTCCAGTCCAGTTCTCTGCATGCACTATTAGCCTGGAGCTGTTTTGGAAAGTTTTCAAAATTTGGCCAACGTTTGCAGGTTTCGTGGTGTATTTCCCAGTAAGCCTCATGCCTTTCCTAATAAGCTCTGGGTTTCTTTCTTTTTACATGTTTATTGCTGGGGCATGTATGCTTTACTTATCTCCTCTCTTCTTGCCAGACATTTAAGTAGATCCCAACTCTTTTAATGGTGGTAAAATAAATCCAAAGGCAAGGAAGGTGTTTTAAAATTTGTCCTTAAGCCCATGTAACCGGTTGGTTCTTAGGTGATTTAGGTGATCTGGGTCCCTGTTTTCCTGACCTTCTGGAGTCCTGGTGAAAATACCCCATGGTGGTTTCAAGGAGAGGTTTGGGGCCAGACGGTTCTGGGTTCAAGGGCTTCCCTGCCACTTACCAGCTATGAGATCTGGGACAAATCATTTCAGCTCCCCAATCAGGGGAGGGCAAGCTATTTATGTAAAACCTGTTTTTGTGCAGCTCGTGAGCTAAGAATCACTTCCACATCTTCAAATGGTTGAAAAGAATCCAAAGGAGAGTAGCATCTCTTGACGTGTGTACATTTCTATGAAGTTCAGCTTTCAGCGTCCACCGTGTTTTGTGGGCACACAGCCACGTTCAGTTGTTTACGGATGTTATAGATTCAGGATTCAGGATCCATCTCTGCCTGCTTTTCAGCTATGATGGCCGGGTTGAGTCGGTGACAGTGACCGTCTGGCCCCCTTGAAGCCAAAAATATTTGCTCTCTGGCCCTTTACAGCAAACGTTTGCCAGACCTCCACCCCAAGCCTCAGTTTTCTTGTTTCTAATGTGAGGCTAAGCATGAGGTGGTTATAAGAATTAAATGACGTGATCTGAGCCACAGGCTTGGCTGTGGTTTAGGAAGATTGGCTGTTATCGTGTATCAATGATAACCTCTCTGTCTGTGCCTTATCCATAGAGCTAAGGTTCTGTAATTCCTCGAGTCTCAAAGTCGCTTGCCCGTTGCAGCGTTTGTGCCTAACTCCGTCCGTGTCATTTCTGAGTGGAATCCTTGTTTTCTAGGAGCTGCACCTCTGCGTCTCCCGCAGGCATTTTGCTCTGGAGCGGGGCTGCAGGCTGCGTGGTCTGCCACCCGGGAATTACAGTGTGCGAGTTCGGGCCACCTCCCTGGCGGGCAATGGCTCCTGGACGGAAGCCACCTATTTCTACGTCACAGACTATTGTAAGTCTGCACGGCCACTTCGACTGGTAGGGTCTGTGCTTGGTGCTAAACACAGCAGAACATTTCAAAGGATGGTTGGGGAAGCATGGAGGCTGTGGGTACTAGCTCTGTCTTGACTCCTGGGTCCAACGGCTGCTGCTGTGTGACCAGGGCAAGAGCATGCCCTCTCTGAGCCTGCACTTCCCCACCTGATCATGGATATAATATCCCATTCAAATATCCCATTCAAACATCCCATTTCAAAGGATGGTTGGGGAAGCATGGAGGTTGTGGGTTCTGGCTCTGTCTTGACTCCTGGGTCCAACGGCTGCTGCTGTGTGACCAGGGCAAGAGGCATGCCCTCTCTGAGCCTGCACTTCCCCATCTGATCATGGATATAATACTAGGACCACCCCTAGAGGTGAAGGGACGTTTCAATGACATCACGAATGTCAAGTGGCTGGCACAGGGCATGTCCGATAAACACATTAGCTCCGGTTACTGGTGTCTTCATCTTTATTTTTAGATAGGCCATGCCCTCCAAGGGAGGATGTGGGCACTCATCTGCTCGGCCTTGGGTGTGCTCTTGGCCTGGAGGCAGGAAGTGCTGCCATGGGGTGAGCTGGATACACTGTGGACAGTAGGGTGAGGACAGGTGGGGAGAGCTGAGCTGGTTAGGGAGTGCTTCCTGGCAGTGGTGATATCTTGGCGGAAACTGGAAGAATGTATGAGTTGGGGGGGAAGATGTTCAGCCCGACATGTGGTAGGAACCCAGACACTTGGAAGGAAGGGAGATTCTAGACCAGGAGGAGTGGGAACTTGGGTGGTGTCAGTGTTCTGACACCAACCGGACATATAGCACTACGATTCTGATGCTTTCCACTGGAGTTAGCACAGACGCTACAAATTAAAAAGAGCATTGTTCCCACCAAGACTGCCCTCACCTCGATGGCAGATGCAAGTTTTGGGGGTTCTCCAGGCCACCTGCACTTCTGACTGACTGGCTACAAATTTGGATGTGATCACAGCCCCATCAGATTTGATCATTTGCTAGAATGGCTCACAGAACTCAGGAAAATGCTATATGACAATGACAGCTTTATTACAAAGGATGTAATTCAGGACCGCCCAAATGAAGAGACACATAGGGTGGAGGCTAGGAGGGTCCTGGACGCGGCTCCTATGTCTTCTCCCCATGGAATCAGGACACATCACATCACCTCCTGGTATACTGATGTGTACGCCAGCCAGGAAGCTCCTCTGAGCTCTGGTGAACTGAGTTTTTAATTGGTGTTTCACTACACAGATGTGATTGGTTGAAGCACTGCCCACATGATTGAACTCCACCTCCAGCCCCTCCCCCTGTCTGGAGGCCACCCCACCCCTCTAATCACACACTTGGTTTTCTGGTGACCAGCCCCCATCCCGAACCATCTCATGTCTTAGCGTAAACTCAGGTATGTTCCAAGGGGATCATCAGAAACAAAGTCCTAAGACTCAGGATTTTTCAAGGATTTGGAGGGACACCATGAATAAAATTCAAAGGAAAACATCAAAGTGGGAAAAACATTTGTAACATCATCGACAAAGAGTTAATATCTTTCATACAAAATGAGTACGTATATATGTCTCCTATGAGTTCAAGATATATGTCCTCACGCAAAATAATCAAAGGATATAAATAGCCTATTTAAAAAGAAATAGAAAAAATAGAATACGTAAGGAAGAAAAGGTGCAGCCTCACTCAAAACCACACCAAAAGAAAGAAAAGCAAGTCAAAGGGAGACAGAATTGTTAACTTATCAAATTTGCAAGGTTTTTGTTTGTTTCTGTTTTTTAAGTATGTACTTAGTGTTGTCCAAGAGTGCAGACACACGGACATTCTGTTTCATGGTAGGCAAGTCCTAAAATGTAGTCCTTTAATAGTATGTATCAAAAAAGCTTACAAAGGCTTTTACTATTTCAACCAGCAGTGCTGGCTCTAGACATTCATCCTAAGGAAATGACCAGAGATGTCCAGAAAAGATAAGTGTTCAAGGAAATCCAGCACTGCTTACTAACAATAGCAAAACAGCTGGGGAATTAAATGTTCGACACATTAGATTACCTTCAAAAATTCTTTCTTAAATAACAGGGAGGCGAGCAAGGCACCTAGGGTGCAAAATTTAAAGAGGCACTCACCCTCAGGGGCTGACTCTGCCCTGGCGTGGCCAAGCGCACGAGTTCCTCTCCAATTTTGCACTCTGGGTGCTTCCCTTCCCACACCCTAGTTCTGGTGGCCACTGGAATCTGAGGACTGTGGGATCTGGGACACAGAGACGGGGTGGGGAAGGCAGCATGGATCTCAGATTCTACAGTGAGATGTGTTGGGTTCTGAGCAACCGGTAGCCTCCAGCTTCCCCTGCCAAAAGATGGGGAAGAGAGACATTGCCGACCACGGCACGTGACCAGACGGTTTCCATTTTTCATGTCCCATTCAATCAGCAAATATTTAGGGAGGCTTTCTCCATGCCAGGAGCCACCAGAGGTGGAAGGAGGAAGTTTGCTGTCAATTCAGGGAGGTCCAGGAGGATGAGATGTCTCTGGATAGAGATGGCCACCAAAGGCACCATGGAACGGTGGTCAAGAACTTGCTCAGATGGCCCGAGTTCAAATCCCTGCTCCACCGTGGATCAGCTCTTGGACTTGGGCATGACCCTTCACCTCTCTGAGCCTCTGTTTCCCAATCTGTTAACTGGCATTGATCATAGCACCTCCCACTTTAGCTTATGGGATGATTAATTAAGATCTCCCAGGCAAAGCACTTCAAACAGTGCCTAGAGTGTTCCTAAGTGTTCAGTAAACTACTATTATTAAAGACCTGAAGGACTAGGTTCCTTCTCTGGCTTCCCAGAACTCACTTTCTTCCTTGGCTTGGAAGAATCTGAATACGTGGACGCATTTGTAATTATAGACAAGTCAGCCTTGTGTGGGAATTAAAAAGAATTAAGGCTACATAGCATGTCTTCCGTCGGTTTCGTTTTTTGGGACGCGACCCCCAGCAAACACAGGGCACTTCTGGTGAATTTTTCATCTGCCAGAGGTGCTGTTGGGATTTAAATAAGCTATTTAATTTACAGGGTCCAGTGCAGAGTGAAAATGCAGGGCTCCTTCTTTAAAAATTATTAAGACTTTCCAGACAGGGACAATAGACCATTAAACAGAGAGCAGAACCTTCTGAGTGTGCGGACCTGCCTGATGGCTTGGGTCGTGTGCCCGTGAAGGTGGCCTTCGATGGTGAAGGGAGAAAAGCTGGTGATGGGCAGTGGTCTGGGGTCACCGCAGGAGAGGTTCAGGGACTAGAGAAGGGGGACAAGTGTGTGTGGCCCGTTGGACATGTAGATGTGTTTTCCGGTGTGACCTCTGATGTGAACACATTTTGATGTGAAACCTATATTTTCTTATTCTATTTCAGTAGACATGCCATCAAATATTGCAAAAATTATCATCGGGCCCCTCATCTTTGTCTTTCTCTTCAGTGTCGTGATCGGGAGTATTTATCTATTCCTGAGAAAGAGGTGAGCACAGAGGTGTTCTGGTAAATGGTTAACAACCAGCTCTCTCGGGGAAAAGTATGCCTACATGTAGATAGAGTTATATCTAAATTTCCTGTAGGGACTTCCCTGGTGGCACTAGTGGCTAAGACTCCATGCTCCCAATGCAGGGGGCCCCGGTTCGATCCCTGGTCGGGGAGCTAGATCCCACATGCATGCCGCAACTAAGAGTTCACATGCCACAACTAAGGAGCCTGCCTGCCTCAACTAAGACCCAGTGCAACAAACTAAATAAATATTTTTTAAATAAATAAATTTACTGTAAATCTTACTGATCTAAAGGATGCATAGCATGCAATTTACAGATAATTATCATAATACAATATACAGTACTCGCTATCATACATTCCCTACAGCCAGTTGATCCTCACCAAATGTTTTTGTCAATTTTTTCTCCCCTGAACCTTTGTATCTATAACCAACCTATGAGTGCAATGAAGAACGGCTGTAGTTCCAAGATGAATCTTGACTGATATTTTGTTTACATTTAAGAGCAAGATAAAAATGAAATAAGGCATATATGTTCATCGACAATAGGAATGACTTTTGCAGAATCAGATAATAATTTTTAAATACTGAAAGCATATTTCCTCAATTTTTGTGCCATTGGCAATGTCATGGCTACAGAGATGACACACATTTAAGCTTAATCCGCATTACTGACATTTTTGCCATCGCTTTCTCAAGCCTGGATGTGCAACAGAATAATAAATCGGTCTTGGTACGTAGCATTTACCTGTTTACACCCGCTGTGAATATTCCCACCGTGGCCAATTTCAAGCTACAGACATGACGTCACTGAACGCAGAGTTGGGAAGAGATATGCAGTCAATCACAGATATGTAGTATTTCTGCCATATGGATGCAATCATATAAATAAATAAGGTAATACAGAAGGGCTGAAGAGTGTCCAGTCCATCAAAGTAAGAGGTAGCATGATAATTGGTTTTGAATATTCATTACCTTTGCTTTGAACAGAATGTATTTAGCTGTAAGCCCGTGTAATTTAATTTTAAATGGTGGTTGTATTTAACAACTGGCTTGCAAATTTCCTGAAAATTCAACAGTTGTTTCTTATGAGCTGGAATGAGATGGTTCCGGAGCAGCAGTGGATGAGCAGTTTTTAGATGTTATATTGACGACCATAAACTGTAGCTTATGAGTGAGCGGTTCTGTGGTGATGCACTTAAGTGGCCATCTGATGGGCTTCTGCTAAAAAGATAAGGGTCCCCCATCCTCACCCCAAACTGCATCCAGGATTACGTGCATGCCGCTAATAAGGGTGGCTGTTTGCACTGGGGAGGCTGTAACCTCCCGCTAATCACCCACAGAGTTCTGTGAGGATATCAAGATGGAACGTCTCCATTTTTCTCATCCAGGCAGCCGGATGGGCCACTGGGACCACTGTATGCTTCTTCAAACCCTGAGTACCTCAGTGCCAGCGATGGTGAGTATGATCCCCTCCCTTGTGGGTGACCAGAATCCCGCTGTTCAGTTTCCTTTGCCATCACTGTCAAGCGACAGTCAAGGGTTGATACCCTGGGGGGCTGAGAAGAGTCCTTTCGTTCAGTTGAGTCTGCGGACCTGCCCCTTGCTGCAGAAACCCTGTTACCGGGAGCAGTCGGACACCTGCTGTCTGGCGCCTGTGGGAATGGGCTGATCTAGCTGGTCTGGGACCCATGCGTGGGCTTGGCTAAGAGGCCATGACCTTGGTGCCCCAGCTGTGGGGGTACAGAGCTTGGATCCTGTGCCAGAGAGAGTGCCGAGGGTCAGAGCCAGAAAGTGGTGACCAAACTGGCCATCCAGGCTCGGAGGTGGGAATCAGAAGCCAAGGTGAGAGACTGGGGATCAGGGATGGGGCAGACAAGAAGCAGGGACAAGATGGGGAAGGTGGGAGGCTGGGTGTGTACCAGGGACACATCTGCTATTGCTGTCAGCTGACCATGGGTGTGATGCTGACGCTGATATGGCAGATCAGTGGCCATATTCCCCTGGATTGTCCCAAAAGGCAGTGAGTGACCCCTGAAGAAAAGGCGTGGCTCTTCCTTCAGATGTGAACGCAGCTGTTGCACTACAAGTTTCTAAAATGCTTCGTGCAGCAAATTCAGAAAGCGACTTTCAAGGCACGAACACCGTTGCCTGACAGGATGCTGCCTTGGGGTACAGGGATGGTGTTTCTAAGGGTACCCGGGATTTGTTTTAAATAAGTCTGGTGAGACGTGCAGACCTGCAAGTGACTATCATGAGGAAGAAGTTTAGACTCACAGAGTCCGGAGAAACAGGAGGCAGGGCCACATGGGGAAGCACCAGGGTCGGCCAGGAGGCAGAGGGAGCGATGGAAAAACGTCGGCAAGAGGCCTTATTGTCTTTTCCATGGGAAAGGAGAGGTCAGGCAGGGTGAGACATAGGATGAGCTAGTTTGAACTGTTTCAGCAGGGTCTGGGGCATAGGGGCTGTCCTTGGTTGTCTGCAAACTGGCCCTGGGCTGATCAGGGCGGGGGGATAGTGGCCCAGAGTGTGAGCGCCTGATCACGGAGGGGGTTGGGGTGTGGGCTGTGGATTGGTTGGTCTGCATATGAAAAGCGGACTCACAGGCACGTCATTTACTGTCAGTAGGAATTGGCCACCCCTGGGGTGGGCAGTCCTGGCAGGTTCAGCAAGACCTCAAAGCATCAGAATAGAGAAGCTAGACAAGGAGTTTATTCCGAGTGGGAATATACACAGAGCCCAGGAGCAGGAGCGGGTGAATGTTAACCCAGAGCCTTCTCTGCCCGCTTGAGAATGGCATTGCTAACCGCATCAGAGATGGGGAAGCTGAACCTCAGGACCACCTCTCCACCCTACTGTCCTGTTTCCTTCTGGGGATGAAGCCATGGCTGAGAGCACAGGGGTACTAAGTGAAAGCTAGAAATTGGGGCTCATGGGTCTTTAAGGCCAGGAAGTTCTGGGCCAAGGGATACACACAGGGAAAGGTCCAAGCTCAGAACCCTGAGGGGCCCCCCAGTGAGCATCTGTGAGCTCATTTGGGTGCAGAACGCTTGTCTGATCCAATGTCCTTGAAAGGGCCATTGGTGACCGTATCGTGTTGCTCAGACTGGGTGGCTTAGTGAACAATTTGATTCCTTCACAGTCCTGGAGGCTGGAAGTCTGAGATCAAGGGGTCAGCAGGGTTGGTTTCTCCTGAGGCCTCTCTCCTTGGTGTGTAGATGGCCATCTTCTCCCTGTGTCCTCACATGGTCTTCCCTCTGTGTGTGTCTGTGTCCTGATCTCCTCTTCAAGGACACCAGTCAGACTGGATTAGGGCCACCCTAATGACCTCATTTTACCTTGATCACCTCTGTAAAGACTCCATCTCCAAATACAGTCACATTCTGAGATACCAGGGTTAGGATGTCAACATATAAATTTGCTAAGGACACAGTTCAGCCCATAACAGGTGCAGAGGAGGGCAGACAACATCTTGGCTTTTCTTATGAGGACTATGTGTATTTGTCTGCAGATTATTTGCTGCGTAACAAACCACCCCAAACTTAGTGGCTTAAAACAAACACCATTTGGTGGGTTCGCCACCTGGGTTCTTCTGTTCTCACTTATGTGGCTGCATCCCATCTGCAGATCCACTGGCACTGGGTGGTCTTGGGTGAGCTCACTCACCTGTCAGATAGGGTCATCCCCCATCCCCTTGGTACTTTGCAGAAATAACAGGCTCAGTTGGGAATTAGCATCCTTTGGTAACAGGGCTCTGAAATCAGACAGAAAGGATGGGGATGCAGGCTCAGCTCAGCATTTATTGGCCAGAACCCTGGACTCCTTCCCCAGTCTCTGCCTGTCCTGTTCCTGGCTCTGTGCCCACTGTCCGGCACAGGGTCTGGACCACAGGAGTCAGTGAACGTTTGGGAGGGGGAGCTCAGGTGGGAGATGGCCAGGGACCCCTGAGGGATCCTCCAAGGGTGCTGTGTAGATAAGTGAGGTGTAGTGTTTCCCTGCTCTGTGTACGTGCCGGATGAGTGGGAGGTGCCTCGAGAGAAGATCACGCTCCTGCGAGAACTGGGGCAGGGCTCCTTCGGCATGGTGTACGAGGGCAACGCCAGGGACATTGTCAAGGGCGAGGCGGAGACCCGAGTGGCGGTGAAGACGGTGAACGAGTCTGCCAGCCTGCGAGAGCGGATCGAATTTCTCAACGAGGCCTCAGTCATGAAGGGCTTCACCTGCCACCACGTGGTGAGTCCCGAGTTGGCTCCAGGAGCAGAAAAAGTCTTCCTGTAATACCTGTCCTTCCTCCTATTGCACAGAGCAGTGAGGATGCTGGGTGTGGACCTCCTGCCCAGCCCCGACTCTGCTGAACGTCCAAATAAAGGTGGCCCTTCCCTTCTCATTTCTCAAATCCCATCCTCTCCCACCTCACTCAGAGCAATACCCTTTCCACTGTACCATTGCTTTCCAGAATCTTCCATCTCTTCCCTCTTCCTGGCTCCTTTGTAACCTTTAAACACAGTGGTCCACCCCTTCCCTGCTCCCCCAAGTCAGCACAGACTCTCCCTGCCTTTCTGTTCCCACCATGGCCCCTTAATTTCTCCTTGAGCCTGTGTCCTTTCATCCTTGCCCCACACATATTCAAGGAGCACCTGCTCTGTACTGAGCTCCATTCTCCTCTCTGGGATGCAGCAGATGTCTGTCCTCCTGGAGCTCTCAATCCCGCGGGCGGAGACAGAGTCTAAACCCAGTAGATTAATGATGTTGTCCACAAGGAGATGATGCTATGGCAACAGGGAGAGGAGGGCAGAGTTGGGGGACTGGGTATGCAGCAGTGGCAAAGGTACGTTTGAGCAAAGACTTCAGAGTGTAGGGACCGGGCTGTGTGGACAGCTCAGCTGAGGACAGTCAGCTCAGGCGAGGGAACAGAGGGTCAGGCAGTGGGAACAGCTATGCAAAGGCCTGGAACTGGGCCTTTGTGTTCAGAGATACGAGGGTTTGCCTTGACATGTTGCTGTGTGGGGGCAGGTCTGTCTGCTTCCCCCCTCCCACCAGACTGTGAGTTCTGAATTCTCCCACTCCCCAACCCAACAAGACCTTGACCTTGGTGTTTCAGCCAGGCAGACCAGGGCTTTCCACAGTCCAGTCAGGAGCAGGGTGCTGTGTGTGATGTAGGTACCAGACAGGGAGACCCGGGTGAGTGGACATCTTCCCGCAGACCCTCATCCAAGAACTGCCCCCCTGCCCCCTCCCCCATGCTTGTTCCACAGGTCCGCCTCCTGGGGGTGGTATCCAAAGGCCAGCCGACGCTGGTGGTGATGGAGTTGATGGCTCATGGGGACTTGAAGAGCTACCTCCGTTCCCTGCGGCCTGAGGCCGAGGTGAGCTGCCTCCAGGTACCCGGTGGGGTGCCCGCTCCCGGCCTCCGGCACTGGTGTCGCTGAACACAACCCCATGTTTCGACTTTAGAATAACCCCGGCCGCCCTCCCCCTACCCTGCAAGAGATGATTCAGATGGCTGCGGAGATCGCCGACGGGATGGCATACCTGAACGCCAAGAAGTTTGTACACCGGGACCTCGCAGCTCGAAACTGCATGGTTGCCCACGATTTTACCGTCAAAATTGGAGGTGCGTCTGGCTTTCTGCTTTGAAATGTATGGGCCAGGCCTTCTGATTTCAGGAGGAGTTGTCTATAGCAAGTGCTTCTTTCTGTCTTTTGTAATATTGGGAAGGGGCAGGGTTTGGACGGAGACCTAGTCCTCGTGCTGTAGTTTAATCGCATTTGTTCATTAATTCACTCATTCACTTCTTTAAGTAGTATTTGTGCTGGCCGCAGCAGGAGGTGTTACAGGGGCGAGGTTGAATGAGTCGCCGTGATTCTTCTGCTCTTGTGTAGCTTGTGGTTATTATTTGCACATTGCAATTTGTATCTGCACCACCCAGCGCAGCAGCCACTGGCCACTGCGTTTAATGTAAATTCAGTAAAATAACATAAAATTTAGTAAAATAAAATAAAATAAATTCAGTAAACTGATTTAAACTAATTTAAATTCAGTAAAATAAAATATATTCAGTAAAATAAAATAAATTCAGTAAAATAATTAAAATGTAGTAAACTAATTTAAATGAGTTTAAATTCAGTAAAATAAAATGAAATTAAGTAAAAATAAATAAAATGATTTGAATTCAGTAAACTAATTTAGATTCATTTGAATTCAGTAAAATAATTTAAATTAATTTTTTAACATCTTTATTGGAGCATAATTGCTTTATAACGGTGTGTTAGTTTCTGCTGTATAACAATGTGAATCAGCTATACATATACATATATCCCCATATCTCCTCCCTCTCGAGTCTCCCTCCCACCCTCCCTATCCCACCCCTCTAGGTGGTCACAAAGCACCAAGCGATCTCCCTGTGCTATGCGGCTGCTTCCACTAGCTATCTATTTTACGTTTGGTAGTGTATATATGTCCATGCCACTTTCTCACTTCGTCCCAGCCTACCCTTCCCCCTCCCCATGTCCTCAAGTCCATTCTTTACGTCTGCATCTTTATTCCTTTCCTGCCCCTAGCTTCTTCAGAACAATTTTTTTTTTTTAGATTCCATACGTAGTAACATAAAATGAAATTAAGTAAAATAAATAAATAAATTCAGTAAAGTAAAATAAAATGACTAAAATTCAGTGAACTAATTTACATTAATTTAAATTCAGTAAAATAAAATAAAATAAATTCAGTTAAATAAAATAAAATATTAAGTCCATCAGTCGAACTGGGAACCTTGAACAATATTAGACAGTGCGGTATAGACCACGTTCATCATCACAGAAAGTTCTGCTGGGCAGAGCTGTTCTAGATGAACAGTAAAATAGTTGACATGTAAATAAGATGATGGAGACTGGGAAGAGAGCGCTGAAGGAAGTAAAGAGTTCAGTTTCGGACTTCCCTGGTGGCGCAGCAGTTGAGAGTCCGCCTGCCGATGCAGGGGACACGGGTTCGTGCCCCGGCTCGGGAGGATCCCACATGCCACGGAGCAGCTGGGCCCGTGAGCCATGGCCGCTGAGCCTGTGCATCCGGAGCCTGTACTCCACAAGGGGAGAGGCCACAACAGTGAGAGGCCCGCGCACCGCAAAAAAAAAAAAAAAAAAAAAGAGTTCAGTTCCATGATGGGGAGGAAAGGCCTCTCTCTCCATAAGGAGGCGACGTTTTCACCAAGACTTGCAGGGTTAGAAGCTGACCTGAGAGATGGCGTCTCAGGGGAAGCTACAGCACGTGCAGAGGCTGTGAGGTTGGAAGGATGGCTGATGTGGTGTGAATAAGGTGAACGTAGAGGGGAGCAGAGCAGTGTGAGATGTGAGGTTGAGGAGAGAAGCGGGAACCAGGCTGGGAAGGTCCTTGTTGATCATGGTGGGTCATCTCGATGTTATTCTACGTAGCCAGTGTGAAGCAGGAATTGACACGATCCGATTTATGTAGCTTCTCTTGGGCAGTGGGCTGTCAGGGTCAGGATGGAGGGAGGGTCCTGCAGGTGAGAGATGGTGGCGGGCCTGGGGACATCCAGGGCTGTGGAGAGGAACAAACTAGAGAGGGATGTGGAGGTCGAGGGGGCAGGACTCGCCACTGTCTTTTCTGTGGGGTGTGAGGAAAGGGGGTGGCCAAGGGAAGACCCAGCACTGGGTTTCTGACTGGGCAGCTGGGTGGGTGGTGGGGCCAGATCCAGTGGCAAATAGTAGGTTGGTTGCAGAGCATGAAAAGTTCAGTTTGGGATGCCTGAGAGGTGTGGGTTGGAAGGAAGCATTGCTGAGGGTGAGATTCCCAAGCTCCAGGTCAGAACATCACTTCTTTGCTACTTGGTGGTTCTTTTTCTATCCCTTTAAATGGTGGCCCATCCTCTCCCTCCACATCCTCATGAGTACCCTCAGAATCCATTCTCACTGGATTTGGCTGTGACCCAGGTGAGCACACACCTGGGGCAGGTGAGCTCACACCTGGGGCAGGTGCCTTCATCTGAGGGCTCTAGCAGGGGTGGGGCAGGAAAGATGGCAGACAGCTGGCCACAGGCTGAAGGCTAAGAGCATGTGAACTACTGTTTGTTGTCAGACTTTGGAATGACCAGAGACATCTACGAAACGGATTACTACCGGAAAGGGGGAAAGGGTCTGCTCCCCGTGCGGTGGATGGCACCTGAATCGCTGAAGGACGGGGTCTTTACCACTTCTTCGGACATGTGGTGAGTCATGTGTGGGTTGGTGGACAGAACACTGCACTTGGATTCCAGGTTGCTCTGCTAGTATGACCAGTGTGAGAGGGGTCACTTGAAAACTGCCTTCCTCAGGGCTTCTCCGTCTAGAAAAAGAAGGGATGGCATGTCTGGGGACCCTAGCACAGCCACTGTGACATTCCAACGGACACTAATCTTATAGGCATTTCTGAGCTGCAGCATGAATCGTTTAGTGAACTGGCCAACCAGGTTCCAGTAAACCAAGAAGGGGTGTGTGTGTGTGCGTTGCGTGTATTTTAACGGCTTCTTTGTTACTATCCCCGACTGTCATTGGCAGGTCCTTTGGCGTGGTCCTTTGGGAAATTACCAGCTTGGCGGAACAGCCTTACCAAGGCCTATCAAACGAGCAGGTGTTAAAATTTGTCATGGATGGAGGGTTTCTGGATCAACCCGACAACTGTCCTGAGAGAGTGTAAGTGTAGAAACGGGGTACAGTGTGTGAGGTGCTCATTCAAACGTCTATGCCCTTTGCCGGGATACTCACGTTTGTGTATCGTATGTCTACACGTCTTTGTGTTTGCAGATTTTTTCTTTGCATGCACATTTGTGTTTGCGTATTGTGTCTACATACATGCTTGTGTTTGTGTATTATATCTTTAGATGTATGCTCTATTGCGTTTCATATTTTTGGAAGGTTGTATAGGAAATTGCACAGCAGTTGTTACTCTGGGAAGGAAACTGGGGAGCTGGAGTGGAGGCTTAGGTTTAACTACCTATTCTTTATACACTGAACATTTTTGTCAGGAAAATAATACAATGGTATATGTCAATTATATCTCATTAAAAGTGGAAAAAAGAAATCGCTGAGCATAAGCACTAAAAAAAAAAAAATTGTCAGGGGTATGTATGACATATTCCTCTCCCAATATTTGTCTTAAATTTTTGTTGTAGAAACAACTGTACAACACAAACACCAAATGCACATCATTAAACACTTACCAAATGATCCAGTGTCATAATAGCCCAATAAATGTGAAGTAAAATAAAGAAGGTACTATCTTCCTAAACTAGCAACAGAAGGAAGGAAGAAAGGAAGGAAGGGAAGGAGGGAGGGAGGGAGGGAGGAAAGAAGGGAGAGTTTTAATATTCAATTCTGTCAATGGTATGGTTAGCTAATCTTTCTTATCACCCTGTTGTCATAGCTACTCACAGCAATGTTATTTAAATCTCAAAAAAGAAAATGATCAAAACACCCAGCAATATGAGAATTGCCAAGTACATTGATAAAATAATAGGAAACAGAAATTGACATCTCAGATGATGCTTGTGATATATTTTATAACTCAGTGGATTAGCTTATGTTAAAATAAGTGTAATAAATGTGTGTAAGTTACATTTCCAAATGTATCCAGATAGAAAAGACAAGAGGTTATATCTGAAGGAGAGTTGTGTGCCAGCTGTATTTTCTCCATATTTTGGGGTGTTTTCTAACTTTCTACAATAAGCATTTACTACATATAAATTCCCTTATCAGTGTTTCTTTTTTTTTAATTTTTTTTATTTTTTTATCTATTTTTTATCAGTGTTTCTGAAGAAAAAACTTTGCCCTCCTGAAAAAAAATCCATGGAGGGAGGCCATTTTGATGCCTCATCCTCAAAAGAATAAGATAGCTGTTTAGAAAACGTAGTTTGAAGAAACATCATATGCAAAAAAAAAAAAAATATGAAGCAGAGTTACTTAGAAACTCTGAGTAAAATATTTTTAAACATCTCCTCATGAAGGGCCTTTCCTTGCCAAGCCAATGAGCAGCTAGGTGTAGTTCCAGGACCAGGGAAATTACATGTAGACCCTAGGGTGGGGGCCTGCAAACTTTTTCTCTAAAGGGCCATAGTGTAAATATATTCAGCTTTGTGGGCTGGGTGGCTCTCTGCCTTGTAGCTGGAAGCAGCCGTGGATGATGCGTAATTGGATGGGTGTGGCTGCGTGCCAATAAAACTTTATTTACAAAAACACTCGGGGCCATATTTGGTCCAGGGCTGAAGTTTGCCAACCCCTGCCCTAGAAGAAGTTACAGTGGGGAAAGGACGAGGTAAAATGGAAATCCCAAGCCCGCTGGGCCTGTCCTAGGTAAAGTCATAGTCTCCACCCGCCCGCCACCCCGCACCCTCCAGAGAGCGGGGGCTGGGCCTGCAGGACAGCCACTCAGAACTAGCCCTCTAGGGTCAGTCCACCCAGCTGCCCTCATCAGGTGCAGGGATGTACATATAAAGGGAGGGACCGACAGAAAATAGACCCACAGACATAGAAAACAAACTTACAGTTACCAAAGGGAAAAGGGGGAGGAGGGTTAAATTAGGAGGTTGGAATTAACAGACACACACTACCATATATAAAATAGATAAACAACAAGGACCTACTGTATAGCACAGGGAACTATACTCAATATTTTGTAATAATCTATAAGGGAAAATAATCTTAAAAAGAATATATATATTCTTTTATATATAAAAGAATATATATATATATGTGTGTGTGTGTGTATATATATACATATATATATATAACGGAATCACTTTGCTGTACACCTGAAACTAACACATCATTGTAAATCAACCATACTTCAATATTTTAAAAAACAATGGAGACTTCCCTGGCGGTCCAGTGGTTAGGACTCCACGCTTCCACTGCAGGCGGCATGGGTTCGATTCCCGGTCGGGGAACAAAGATCCCGCAAGCCGGGTGGCGCGGCCAAAAACATAAAAATAAATAAATAATACAAATTAAAAAGTTAAAAGAAAAAAAAACGGTGAACCATGGTCTTCAGCCTGTAGCAACATCAGGAGAGGCCCTTCTGGATCTGGTTTGGGGAGGAGACAGCCCTCTTGACGCTCTTTATAAAACCACCTTTCAGCGCCCCTAGAATCGCTGTTTCTGCTTGACTGTCGCCTTTCCGGTGTCGGCACTTGTCCCCGTGGGTGTGGGCCACCGGCGAGGGGTGGGGAGGGGGCCGATTGGCGGGGCGGCGCGCGCCTCACCCTCCACGTGCCCTCTGTCCTGCAGCACCGACCTGATGCGCATGTGTTGGCAGTTCAACCCCAAGATGCGGCCGACCTTCCTGGAAATTGTCGACCTGCTCAAGGACGAGCTGCACCCCAGTTTTCCCGAAGTTTCCTTCTTCCACAGCGAGGAGAACAAGGTGCCCGAGAGCGAGGAGCTGGAGATGGAATTTGAGGACATGGAGAGTGTCCCCCTGGACCGGTCCTCACATGTGCAGAGGGAGGAGGCCGGGGGCCGGGATGGAGGGTCCGCACTGGGGCTAAAGAGAAACTATCAGGAACACATCCCCTACACCCACATGAACGGGGGCAAGAAAAACGGACGCATTCTGACTCTGCCCCGGTCTAATCCTTCCTAACGGCCCCTGCTCTGGGGAATGGTTCCTGTCTTCGCTTTCCTCTGGTTTGAAGGCCTTCAGAAAACTCAGGATTTTCACACAACTCAGCCACAGTGTCAAATGGAGCTCAGAGATCATGACTATCCATTTCTGTTCCTCTTCTGACTTCAAACACATTGGTTTGATTGCCAATTTGACTGGTCATCTGAGAACTTAACTGTGAACCTAGATGGGAGAGGGGTTTCCACGGCTGCTGTCCTTTTGGACCACCGAGGTTTCAAGCCCGGGTGTTACTTTTTTTTTTTTTTCCTAGCAGATTGAAAGAAAGCACCTGTTTTTACAAATTTTTTTTTTTTTTTTTTTGCTGGTGTCTGAGCTACGGTGTAAAACATAAATCTTGTTTGTGGAACAAAAGTTAGAAAGAAAGAAAAAAACAAAAATCAAAATCCTGTCCTAGTAGAATTCCAAACTTTGCAGAGTGGGCTTCAGGAAAGTTTTTTTCATCCAGAAGGTTGTTTTTTTTTCCTTCACAGAATCAGTTCCTCAAATTGACCAATAGCTGCTGCTTTTGTATTTTGGATATAGTGTTGCAGTCCTGGGGTGTGGCTCACGTGTGTACTCGTGCGTGTGTGTGTGTGTGTATGTGTGTGTGTGTGTGTGCAAATCATGCGTGCTGAGTGGCCGCTTTGGGGATCAGCCCAGGAGGGTTCTGCCCTTCTGGAGTGTGTGAGCCCCTGATCTGCTCCCTCCACCTCCCTTCCTTCTAATCTACTGGGACACTGTGCCCTCAAGAGTCTCCTTCAGTCCCGAGTCTAGCCTCAGGAGTCTTCTCTCCCTTAACTTTGGTGAAAAATGTTTCCCGGGAGCCATGGGAGTTGTTTGGAGTGATAATGGATCTTTTCAAGACCAAACAAAGCCAGGACATTAAAAAAAAAAAAAAAAAGAAGAAGAAGAACTGAGATGATGAAGAGTTTTGAGAATATATTTGTAACATATTTAATTTAAAAAAAAAATCTCCAGCATCAGCCTCATAAGTTATTGACCATTTCCCGGGGGGCGGGTAGGGCATGGGGGTTTGTCTGCCTGTGTGTGGGGAGGGGGACCCAGGCACCAATGGCCTCTCTCCTTGGTCTTCAAGGCATCCATTTTTTTGGGACTAAAGCCACGTTAGCTGCTAACCCTTCTGGACGTCGTGATCAGGCCACGCTGAGCATGTGGGTGATGGTGTATGATGGATAGTTTGGTTTCTGGTAAGCTGAGCCCTGCCTTTGAACACACTTGTGGCCCTTGGATCTTCTGGTTCCCTGTACGTACCTCTGGAGCTTCCTCAGCTGTGTGCGCACGTCCTACAAGGGTTGTGCAAACACAGCACAATCACATCCCAAAGTGGGACAGCACAGGTGGACTTTGAGAACACTAGCCATATGAAGACGTGCCTGTTGGTCCCCTCCGCCCTCAGGGCATCCGTCTGTCCTCAGAGCTGACTTCCCAGAAGCTGCTTTGCGCCCAGTGACCTCAGCTGGGCCAGGTGTGGGGCCTGAGCTGAATTCTCAGGTACTTCACGATCTTGCAGTCCCTAAGAGAGTACAGTCCGGAGGAGAAACCGCTAAGGACCTTCACACTACCAAGAACTTGCGAAGGAGCGTGATGCCACAGTTGCTTCCCTTTGGGGAAAGAACTACAGCTGCTCAAATAAAGAACACGGTGAACTCATCACTTTGGTTCATCCAAATCATCACCCATGGGTTATCCCTTGAGTGCATTTTCTCACAAGTTTTTGATTGCTTCCTTCTTCTCTTCTCCTCTTAAGAGTTGTGGGCTTAAGAACAGGATAGAGATGCCATGGTGACCTCCGAACCTTCTCAATTCTTGATGAAGAACACAGGTAGACACACATCCTAGTTGCCTCTGGCTATCTTATTTATATGATTTGAGAAATGACAGCATGTCAAAATATTTCTGGGGAGCCTCAGTGATTGGGTACAAGGAGCACAGAAATTATTTTCGCCAAATTTATTTTGTACATAAAAGAGGGTCTGTACGTAAATTAAAAAGACAGAACACGTAGATCTAGGTATTTTGTTCTTTTCGTAGTAAATTTGTAGTGGCCGTATACTACACTAGCAGCAATTTTCACATTTTTCTAATTCAGAAAGGTTTTCTTATATTAGGGGAAAATTATTTATTTTAATATATAAAAATCACTGTAAAAAATCACTTTCATAAGAAATGGAGTGCATGTAAATTTTTTTTTCAAAGAAAAATAAACAGGTGAATGTGGGGTAATGATTTTTTTTTTTTTCCCAGCACAATCTACCTCAGTGTATTGTTAGGATGTGATTCAATAATGGACATCTTTGAGACTTCAGAATTCTTCCTGGATCCGATCTGAATCAGGGAAAATTTGTATCAGCTGATTCTGAATGCCAGGGACCAGTAAGAATTTTGAGGGAGGGAGTTGGGCTGAAGTATGGCTTTCATGTGAGCATAGATCCTTTTTCTGGCTGATAATATGCTCCTCTGAATTTAATCTTCCTTTTTTTTTTTTGATCCTCCATCCATTGATACCGTGGCCCTTGAAATGAACCAAGTTTCAGGCCATCATGATGTATCTGATGTATGGGGGACATCCAGTCCTGAGTTACCCTTCTTTGGTGAGGGAAGTTCCCCTGTTGGGGCAAAGACAGGCTTTGGTACAGAGCCAGCATCCCCATTGTCCCATGGCATCCCCCTGGTGTGAGCACCTAGGTGCCCTGGGCTCTCCATGGTTTATTTCCACTCCTTTCAGATTGAGATGCTTTTTTGGGGGGTTGGGGGTGGAAAAAATCACTGTCATGGGCACCTCACACACAAACACCCAATGCAGAGTCTCTTTTTATTTTCTGAGTGGGAAGGGAGCATGTTGAGAAATCTCAACCCCAAACCCACCAAGATGCTGAACACATCTTTTAGCAACAAAACCTTGGACCCCCTGTATTTTGGTTCAGTTGACCTCAAGCTGATACTGTTTGACCTTGGGGCACTTTGATAACCCGTGTGTATGTCTGGGCAGGGCCAGCAGGAGTGATGTCATACTCACCAAACCTCGCTGCCCTTCCCATACCTATAGGCACCACCCCTGCAGAGTCTCCTTTCTTCCACTTTCCCTGGAGAGGTGCTGTAGAGTGCTGGGCCCGCCCTTTGTAAACTGGAGTTCCCTAACTTCATTTAGCTGTCTCTGCTGCTGCAGTGAAAGAGGAAGCAGGCTTGGGTCACAGCCTCCTTTTGCATCAGATAATGTTGACTCTGTCACAACAGAACTTTAGTCCTAGAGATGGATGTCCTGGAGGATTGTAGCGATGGGTTACAAAAAAAGCAACAAAGCCAGCTTTGGATGACACTTTTTGTTGTTTGTTTTGAAAGGTGTCTCAGTATTTTAAAACCCCTTTTTATTTATGTGGCAAAACCCACATAGTTATTTCTCTCTGGACCAGTGATGTCAAACACACGTCTGGAAATGTTTGTATTCTGGGAGCTGTTCTGGGTGATTTTCTGTCCTTTTAAGCTAGTAAGAAGCAAGAAATGCTGCTGGTTCTCTGGATAGACGTGGAGCACAACTGAAAGAAAATGTGGGAATTGGTGCAAAGATCTGCACCAACAACGCCGAGACCATTGGAGACTGCCTGTAACTGATGGACAGATCTTCCACTCTCTCCAACCAGAGTGGATGGTCTGCCATGAAATGTGCTTGTTGGGTTGGGAGGTGTTTATTTGTAGCCGTCATAACATTGGTCAGTGGACAGGAACCCATGCTCGCCATCTGGGTACATGATGGGATGTGCTGTAGTCCCCCAAACGACAATCTTTTTCTACTTTGTGGTGGGTGGAAGTTTGAGGTTCGGATGCCACTTGGCATCGTAGGCGATTCAGAAATGATGGTTTTGTTGGGAGTGGGGAACATGGACATGCTGATTGTATATAAATGATACCTGTAGAATGGTGTCCCTTCAGAAAATCTTCTGGAATGTTCTTCAGAATATTGATTTATACCAGAGTTGAGGTTGGAGAGAAAGAACAGACGGGCATTTGTTCTTTCAAAGACATGAGAGAATGCAATGGACATTCAGAGGCTGCGCCTGGAAGTGAATGTTTCCTTAGGGGTCTCCCAGAAACAGAGGGAAACAATGACTTTTTGAGCTCACTGTCAACTTCTCATACCAGTCAAGGTCCAGAACCAGCCTCCAGCCACGTTTTAATCTGGATGTGGGCCCTAAAAATCCTTGTTCAAACTCAGACCAGGGATCTGGGGCTCTTGGTCCCATTTGAGAAAAAAGGAACTGTCTCCCCCAACCCAAAGCGTGTGTGTCCACACACACATTCAGGAATGGCTTATTTACTCTCTACCTTGTGGGCCTGGGGGTCCCGGGCCCTGCGTGTGAGCGGCAGACACCTCCCATCCAACGTCAGCCACGCAGGATCAAATGTGCCTCGGCATATGCAGAAACCAACTCGGAGACGCAAAACCCACCAAGAGATCAATTCTTATTTTTTCAATGTTTTCCTACAAGAGCCAAGTGGCACCATGTACAGAATTTGCCTTTTTTTTTGTTTTGTTTCTTGGAATATCAAAATTGCTCTGCATGTAAACTATGGGATAATTACCTGTTTATATGAAAATTCAGAATAAATTATCTGAGAATACTCTTGTTGCTGTGTGGTGTCCAAGCGAGGACCTATGAACTGGGTGGGGTTGTGGCTAGGGGGTGGGTGAAGGGAAATCTCCTGGGATGTTGTGGGTATCTGTTTTGAGAGGGAACAAACCTCCAGGTTCTTCATAACAGTGAAGCAGGAGGTTAAATATTGTTAGCAGCAGGGCTGATGATCCACTGACACATACCTGTGGAGCTGAACCAATGCTTTAAATATGGAACTATTTCTATACTATTTGGTAAGTTACTGCTACCTCAAGGACCCCAGACCTCCCCAGGATCCAAATACTAAGCAGTTCACTACAAGAATACAAGGGGACCCCCAAGACACTGCTCCATTGCACCGTGCTGGAGACTTAGATGCTAAGGTGTTGTAAATGTCATCCTGGGAACATGGACCTGCCCCCTAGGGTGAGTGGTCAGTGCAGTGTTTGCTACTGTCCCGTTGCCCAAAGGAAGTCATGTAGATGACCCCAGAGTCAGCATGGGGGGAGGGGAGGACTGCCCGAGGGTTTACATTCGGGGAGGTGGGGGAAGCGTGAATGAACTGAGTCAATCCTGCAACAATTGCCCACATGTCTCACTTTACCCTTCTATGATTGAGGATGAGAGACCTTCCGTCATGTGACCATAGTGAGGATAAAGTGAGGTAACGTTTATCCTCCATGCTCCCTCCAGGGTGTCCTTCCCACACCCCCATATCCCTCCAGGTTCCCCATCCTCCAAAAAATGGATGCCACTGCTAGGTGGTAGCCTGAATTGTGCCTCCCTGGGCTCGTGAAATTCAATAGAAGCCTTGTGGAAAAGGGAAAATGCTTTCCTCCTCAGGAAAGAATCTCAAGGATGCTTCAGCCTCAGGTGTGCAGGTGGGTGGGTGGTCTCTTTGCCCAGGTGGGCCATGCAGACTCCTCAAACTTGTGGCCAGGTGATGACAATGCAGATTAGGGTCCCTGGGGCCCTGGTCCTGGCTCCGACTCAAGTGTGAGCAGCATGACAGATGAGACAGTTGTCACCAGCTTAGTATACAAGCAAAAGGAAGCACATGGAAGCTTTGGTATCTCTGAAGTACTCAACAGAAGAGAGAAGTGATACTCTTATCAGGGATGACAGGGTTGGCGGGTGGTCTAGACTCTGAGATGTGATGAGATCCAAGTTTTCTAGCTGTTGATCTCCAACCTCCTTGACTGCTGGTGACCCAACCCCCTGGGGCATGGTTTCACCCTTCCCCCCGCCCCATGAAGCTGACTGTTCTGCCTGGGATTGGGTCCTCAAGGTGACTTGCCCAGAATCTTCAATAGAAGTCCTCGTTATAATCAGAGACTCACAGGAGTTGATGCCATGTTGTACCACCCATGCCATCTCTTTGGAACCCAGGGGCTCACTCTTCCAGCTACCAGGGAGGTTGTCTGCTGGGGGCTCACAACTGAGTCCTTTTTGCCAGAACTTTCCTCAGCTTAAGGGAGCTGCTTGGTCCAAGGTTATGTCCCCTCCATAGGGGCAGCCACATCTGACAACTGGCCAGGGGTACAAATGCCTGACCCCTGTGCCTAAATGCATGTTATGGGTTTAATTGCTCCCCCCTCCCCACAAAAAGATACATTTAAGTCCTAATCTCCAGTACCTCAGAATGATGATCTTATCTGCAAAGCAGAAATAGAGACACAGACGTAGAGAACAAATGTATGGATACCAAGGGGGAAAGAGGTGGGAGGAACTGGGAGATTGGGATTGACACATATACACTACTGATACTATGTATAAAATAGACAACTGATGGTAACCTACTGTATAGCACAGGGAACTATACTTAATGCACTGTGTGACCTAAATGGGAAGGAAATCCAAAGAAGAGGGGATACATGTATATGTATATGTATAGCTGATTCACTTTGCTGTACAGTAGAAACTAATACAACATTGTAAAGCAACTATACTCCAATAAAAATTAATTTAAAAAAAGAATGTGACCTTACTGGGAAATTACATTGCAGATGTAATTCATTTGGTTAAGGTGAGGTGGACCTGGAGTGGGCTGGGCCCCTAATCTGATATTAGTGGCATCCTTACGAAAGGGGGAAATTTGGACACAGCCATACACACGGGGAGAACATCATGTGAAGATGAAGGCAGAGATTGGGGTAATGGGTCTGCAAGCCAAGGAATGCTAAAGATTGCCAGCAAAAAGGCACAAGCTAGGAGAGAAGCAAGGAACAGATTCCCTCTCACAGCCCTCAGAAGGGACCAACCCTGCAGACACCTTGATCTCAGACTTCCAGCCTCCAGAACTGTGAGAGAATAAATGTCTGTTAAGTCCCCCGGTCTGTGGAGCTTTGTTACAGCAGCTCTGGTAAACTAGTACAATGTGGGACAACTGTGCTGAATCACCACCATTTTAACGCTCCGCAGGGGATCAGGTAAGGTGCTGGTTGCAGCTGCTTGAAGTTTCATCTTTCCCTCTTTCAGACTTACTTCCCTTACTCATGTTGATCCCGTTATCCCAGACAAACCTCCTCCATGTAAACCTCTGTTTATTGCTGTGTAACAAACACTCCAATACTTAGTGACTTAAAACAAGCAACAGTGATTATTTCTCACTACTCCATGAGCCAGCCAAGCAGTTCTTTTAGTCCAGGCTGCCGTGTGTGATCTCTTGGGTCAGCTGATGGCTTGGCTGGGTGAATGATTTGAGATGGTTTACCCATCTGTCAGATGATGGCAGGCTGAAAGATCTCAGAGTCTTTTTCTCAGAGAACCCAGTCTACCACAACCAGAGATGTTGAGACCTCAAGGAGCTTCTTCTCATTGGCAGATTCAGGAATTGAAACAGAGAGGGAGAGTGAACTCCCAAAGGTCACAGAGCAAGTTACTCTGTCTCACACTAGGCTGTTTGATACACCTATGGGTAAACGTGGCATTCCAGCATTGGGAGAGACAAAGAGATACCCTTGTGAGATTTCTGACATAGCCCCTCCCTGGAGGTCCTGGAAATTACAGAATGCTGAACAGTAACCCGTAGAGGAAGGGAAAGGAAGGGTTCCCGTGGTTAAGGGTATCACAGGGGTATGAACTGGTTCACCACAAGTCTTTAAACTCAGAGATCTGTGAATTGCCTGTTTTTTTCACCAGGTGATCTTAGACAACTCATTATACCTCTCTCAGCCCCAGTTGCCTCATGTTTTAAAAGGAGGTCATCATAGAACTTCCACTGTAGGGTTGTTGTGAGATTAAATTGTATAAGACTGAAAAGGCCTTAAGAACATTTTTATCATTGATAAATACACACTTTCAAGCCTCAGGGAACGAGTACCATGGCGTGTGGTGTCATTGCATGAACCGCCCATGGTGGAATGCTCAGGACAACCCTGTGTTCCACAGATGGGGAACCCCAGCCTCAGAGAGTTGAAGGAGCATCACCAGGACACCCCTTTTCTGTGTCCTGTCACGTTGGGGATTATAGCTATGATGGACACACTTTAAGGTGACCTCTGATCAATAATTCCCACTTTCTGGTATCCACAGTTTGTATAATCTCCTCCCACTGAGGATGGGCAAGATATATGACTAATTAACTGTGGGAAAAATGATGAGATGTCTCTCTCATGTTTATGGAACATTGTATGAGTCCAATCTTAGCAAGTCAGAGAGAGAGATTTTACTGGTGGCCTTGAAAAGGCTATGAAAAGGACTACTTGTAAGGAACTGTGGCAGCCCCAGGACCTTAGAGTGGCCTCCAATGAATAGCTGGTACAAAGCTGGTGTCATCTGTCCCCAAACCTGGAGGTAATGAACTCTACCAACAGTCTGAATGCACTTGGGAGCCTATTCTTCCCCAGTCGAGCCTCCGTATGAGGATGCAGCCTGGTGGACACCTTGACTGCAGTTTTGAGAGACAATGAGACCTAGCTAAGGGGTGCCCAGACTCCTGCCTGGTCCACAGAAATTGTGTAACAATAAATGTGTGTGTTGTTTCAAGTTGTTAAATTTGTTACACAGCAATAGAAAACTAATACAAATTAGGAGTTTGGGATTAACTCCTAGTGTGTATACATAGATACACACTATTCTGTATAAAATAGATAACCAACAAGGACCTACTGTATAGCACAGGGAAATATACTCAATATCTTCTAATAACCTATAATGAAAGAGAGTCTAAAAAGAATCTATCTATCTATCTATTATCTGTCTATCTGAATTACTTTGCTGTGCACCTGAAACTGACACAACATTGTAAATCAACTCTATTTCAATAAAAATTTTCATGAGAAAAAAAGTAGAAAACTAATACAATAGCAGAGTTACCCGATTCGAGATATCTTGTAGATTAAGAGTTATTTTGTGTATGGGGCATAGAGGGTCCTTGCTAAGTGTTAGCTAATACTCATCACCAGCGTTGATATTGTCAAGATGCTCCTGGCAGAAGGCATCCTCATGTGCCAGTCTTTGTTTTTAAATGTGAATCCTCATTTTCTTTTAAATTGATGTATAACTGACATACAACATTATGTTAGTTTCAGATGCACAACATAATGGTTCAATATTTATATATACTATGAAATTATCACCACGATAAATTTAGTTAACATCTGTCACCATACATAGTTACATTTTTTTTTCTTGTGATGAGGACTTTTAAGATCTCCTGTCTTAGCAACGTTCAAATATACAAGAGTATCATTAACTGTATCACCATGCTGTACATTACATCCCCAGGAATTATTTATTTTATAGCTATAAGTCTGTACCTTTTGACCCCCTTCACTCATTTCACCCACCCCCACCCCTTTATAGGTTATTAAAAAATATTGAGGGGCTTCCCTGGTGGCGCAGTGGTTGAGAGTCCACCTGCCGATGTAGGGGACACGGGTTCGTGCCCCGGTCCGGGAAGATCCCACATGCCATGGAGCGGCTGGGCCCGTGAGCCATGGCCGCTGAGCCTGCACGTCCGGAGCCTGTGCTCTGCAATGGGAGAGGCCACAACAGTGAGAGGCC